CCACGCGGACAGGACCTCGCACGGGCATCCATAGGCGCCCGCGCGGAACAAATTGTTTGCCCCCGCCCTTTTTCCTCCTCTCCCACGCCTCTCCTACCAACGCTATCCTAACCTGATTAGAACAAGTTACCACGGGTTAGGATGTTACCCGTCCGTTCAGGTACAGGACGTTGGGACCCAGGAGGATCGACGGCGGACATCGTTTAGAAGCGAAACTTCCTTTTCCGTTTTCTCCTACGCCACGTAGTTTCCAAGTTACGCCCCTCCAAAGAACCGACCAATCAGAGCGCAGCATTCTTATTTCCGCTGTATCTCCGGAACCACGGGTCATAGAAAAGAACGGTAAAGGAAGTTTCGTCGCGAAATCCTGTCCCCTGTCCATCGCGCCGATCGCGAACGCCCCCTACCTGAACCGAATCTGTCCGTTCAGGTACCGGAAATTGGGACCCGGGGGGATCGACGGCGGATGTCGTTTGGAATCGAAACTTCCTTTACCGTTTTCTCTTGCGGTGTGTAGTTTCCGAGTTACGGAGAAATTGGTTTAATTTGACCTTATTTTCTATTAAAAAAAAAAAAAATTCCTGGCTTTACTCAACCTTCCCCCTCCGGTCTCTGACTTACCGCCCTCGGCCGTACGATCGCTACTCCGTCTCCGCCGGTTGTCCGTCTTCGTTACTCTATCCATGGGAATGTAGTAACTCTTTCATGGGTGTTTGGAAATATTTCAAGATAGAAATAGCCTTTTTTGAAATGTTTAGAAAATGTTTCTCACACGTTAGACGTTAACTATGTAGTACAATAGCAATGCCTATTGTAATTTCGATTCATAAGAATTTCTTGATGCCACAAAATGCCTTTGTTCTCGAATAAATTTTCTCCTAAGAAGACACCGACCAGAAAGGTCTCCATATCTTTGGTAAACAGCAACTCCAGCCCACAGAGAATTGAAAAAGAGTTGGGTTCCCAGGTTGGTCCTGTCAGAATTTGTCTTGGAAATCAGAAGGCAGTGTTTGAAGATGGACAGTGGATCCCAGGTGATGTTCGCAAGATCGTTGATGACGATACAATACATTTGTTCTAGTTTATTAAAAAGGGAAAAGATTACAGGTATTGTTAAGCTATGGTGTATCACGAATCGATGAAAAATTCTTACGTATTAACCCTTAGCACTTTGTTGGCTCTGCTATGGAGACATGTGTCGGTTGTTCCATAACTTGTAAAGTGCAAGGCGTTACGTTAAAAGATAGAATACAATATACACGTATACTCTCCACTTTGTATCTGCGATATTCACGGAAAGAATGTAGTTTGTATTTACGGTACCGTGAAATGTCATCTTCTGAATCAAAATTATTAATGTGGTTATTTCATTTCGTACGACAGAATCAGGAAAAGCAGCTGAAACATTTAAGGAGAATGAAAGGCTACACATAGAAATGAAAAAACTTCGGGAAGAAAATAATTTGCTAAAATTAAAGTTGGAGGTACTGTTGGACATGGTACGTAAATACTTGTTTCAACTATTTAAACGGTACTCGTGAAGATAGGTACATTTGCTTTTGATGACTTTCGGAAAAGAAATGTAAATTACAAGCAAGCTGATCTCCGATTACTAATAAATTTATGATCGGATCTAGACGTTAACTTTACAGCTTTCACGTACTACTGCGGAGTCCCAGATACAAGATAGACGGTCGAACGAATCAAACTATGATAAACGAGATGTCACGTAGGACGTGAACGATAATAAAGTACAATTGGATTATCCAAGGAATGCTTAATAACTAAGTGGGCTGAACTGACCTGTGACGGGCAAAACAGACTGTAACGATTACTTCGATCTTGAGAGCTTTCTTTGCAATTTCTTCTATTCCAAAGTACGATAAAAATAAATTAATGAACAGACTTGTTCTAAATGTAAAACACTGATCGATTGTAAATATCGTTTTTTTTTTCCCTCACAATTTCCGTGTTTTACTTAACAGTTAGGAAAGTGAATAATGTTACAGGAAATGTATTGAACATTTGAAATATAAATAAGGAGATTTTACTTTGGGTGGAAGGGCTTAATAATTGAAAGGAATAAAGAATAATCATCGAAATTAATTGCCCGTGAAGATTAGCTTCTCCGGTATGCTTAGAGGATTGTCCATTGCTAGATTCTCACGGAATGTTCTCCCAAGGCATATACAATTTGAAATTAATCCATAGTCTTCTGCGGGCACGTCCTCCTCGTATGCCCTGGAAATGATTTAATATCGATCGAACGTTTAAATGGAAAGTAGCAAAAGATAAGATAGGAAAAATATACGAGAAGAAATTTCTCACCTTCGACACCACAAATGCCACATTTCCTTTTACCTCCGATATTCCCATCACCGTCTCTTCCTCGTCCTCGTCCTCGTCCTCGTGCGCTGGGTGCTCGAATTTGTCCTTCCGGAAACTCGGACCCAGCCTCGTTACCCCAATCGAAGAATTTACAAATATCTTGCTGGCACTTGTAGAATTGTCGTCCCTTGTTTGGCCCTTCCTTGCGAACGGTCAGCCTAATTGACGGAAAGTGACATTTCTAACGTCTCGTCATGGCCGGATGAAAGTATGTATATGTAAACATTAAGAATATAGAATCCAGTTAGGGTGGGTAATAATATACGAAAAAAGACGCACTGCTTTGCAGGCAGACCGCAGAGACAATTGATCACGTTAGGAGCAGTCACAGCGGGATCATTAGATATCATAGCGTTGATCCAGTTTCCTCGATTTTGGCGACCGTTACTACTGGCTTCTCGTGAATTCGCACCTTCGCCTTCGTTCTCCATATTGTTCGGGTCCCACATGAAGAAGTCACAGCCCTGGCCTTGTGGCTTTGCACATTTGTAGAACTGCTTCCCTTTAAATTGAAAAGATCATTTTGACGTTCGATTTACTTTTCCTGGAGTGAGGAATTCCTAACTCGAAAAACACACACACACACACACACACTTTACCAATTTCTGTCATTCACCTTTATTTCTTCCCTCCTTTATAACGGTCAAAAGCTTTGCGTTTTCGTGACAGTGACAGACAAACACAGAGTTACCGTCATTGGTTCCCCAGATCCGATCTCCGGTGTCCGAGTCATTGCCATAGTTGCTACGAGAAGTTCCAGAAATTTGGCTGGATCCACTGCCACCGTTTCCATCATTGCTTGCACTTGGATTACGAGAAATGAAACTTGGTCTCTGCTGATGAACACTAGTCGAAGGATTGTCCCAATTATCGTTAGACTTTGCCCCACCTTTACCTCGTGGTAGCACAGATGGCGCGCTGGGTCTAGGAGGAGGGAAGTTTTGCCTTTGATGCGTGCCGGGAATCGAATCGGTGCGACCAGAAGGAGTATTATTCCTCTGAGAGGTGTCGGAACTCCTTACGGAGGATCTATGAAAACTTGTGTAGCCGGTATCGTTGGTTCCCTGGACTCTTCTAACATTATCGACACGTATTTCCATCACTTGATTGAATTCTTCGTCACAACCTCCTATACATGTCTCGTGCTCGATGCCAAAGAGGGGTAGTGCGCCGCGTTTTAGCTTAAACCTCAGTATCGGCAGGTTACCAGGACACTGGAAGGCATAACCTCTAAATGGAGACGAGTCGACAAAATTTTCGAGACGTTAAACAAGTTTCACTAACTTGCTGGCAGACTCTATCGAGCACTTGAACTCGTTCGATGGTCGAAGGGAGCCAGATACTGTTGCTGCAATCTGGATATGCCATACAACCGATGTATTTCCTTCCATCGAGCGATCTGTCTTTCAGCACCATATTCGAACCACATTTGGGACACGAGAAAACAACAATATCCTCCGGTGGCACAGTGGCTGGCAATTCTTCGGCATCTTTTGGTCTCTCTTCGATGTACTCGGCAATAGCTCCGTCAATTAAATTGGCTCGTTCTAGAGCAATCTTGAATACCTCTCGATACTTGGATATCTGGTTAAGCAAGACAACCTGTGGGTCCTTCTTCCCTTCGCATATTCTAAAACAAGCGAATAAATGAAAAACGACCTTACTTATCTAACGGGCAAAGGATTAATGTTCTAGGCGATAGAAAGTCTACTTACAGTTTCAGATCACTCTCTAATTCAGCTCGCAGGTTAGGCTTTGACATTTGAAAGCCCATTCTATCGTAACCCGTTACCAATCCGATGCCAAGGTTTCCCGGTACAAAGTGCGATCCATCGGCTAGACCTACATACTGTCTCGATTTGATAGTTTCAATGTGCTCGGCATGGGTCGCATCGGTTCCAATCCCATGTTTATCCATCAAGGCAATTAAATCAGCTTCGGTTAAAAGGTTAGGTGGCGTTGTCTCCGACCGAACCATTTCAATGCCGGTAGGCCCGAACACCTGGCCACGTTCGTAAACAGGAATCACTTTATCACTCCACTTTTCGTAAACGTAAACTTCCAAATAATTTTTTGCTATAATCCGCAATCCATTCGCGGCAAACTTTTCTGCCGCGATGTCAATCTCTACCAATGTTTCTTCACCTTCCGCGTTCTTTGACAGGCAAGCAAGAAAGTGTCTCGTTACAAATTCGTACACTCGAGCTTCGTGTCCTGGAGAGAAATTGATATAAAAGTATTTAGAACAATCGCTCAAAGGAAGACGACCACGAAAGATATCCTTGCAAACCTTGAAGCGTATCGGAATATTTTGTCGGATGGATCGGGGGGTGAGCCTGGTCGCTCTTTTTCCCCTGCCTGGGCGTAGGTCCATCGGCAAGCAATCGTCGCGCAAAATCTCCCCAGACTGGGTTGTTGGTTTGATCGCTGACCAAAGGAACCAGGTTAAGTTCCTTTGGAAATATATTTGTCTCGGTACGAGGGTAACTGATGAGACCTTGAGTGTAAAGCCTCTCTGCGATCTGCATGGTCTCCTTGGCATTTAATTGAAGTTTCCGAGAGCCTTGTTTTTCCAATTCCTGAGGTACGATTAGCTTACAGTAAGGAATTATCTAGAACTGGTATCTTAATAATATTAAATTAATACCGCCACGTTCATCAAGATGTTATCAAGATTCAAGAATGCAAGGATGTCGAAAGGTTTACAGACGAACTTACTATAGTATCCAGCGGTAACGGTCTCCACTTGCTCTTAGGCTTACTCGTCACTTTTTCCACAGTAGCGTTAGGATTCTCCAAGCATCGGTCCAACAAAATCTGACACGGCAATTCTTCGAAGAGCCTATTTCTATCCCATCTGAATTCAACCAAGATGTCATTCCGCATATCCGTCACTTTGAGTCTCCAGTAAGGCTCTGGCTTAAATCTTTCAATCGCCAGGAATCGTTCCACTACAAAGCCTAACGTCGGAAACTGACAGCTGCCGTAACTGATGAGCATATCCGAAAGGGTTCGAGGGAAGACCTTTTGCAGTCTTAACGTTTGAAATCTTGTAAATGCAGCACCTGGGGCAGAAATGAACGTAACGAAAAATGAACGGGACACGTCGGCAGGTTTCGTAGTTACGAACTTCTTAACCTATTCTTAGGTCTAGTTCACTGCGCACATCCACCGCATCGCTGATGGCCTTATTCGGTTGTTCGAGATTTCTAATAGCCCGTTCCATCGAACATTGTGTAATCTCGGAAAACTTTGCTCTGTAATCATAAAATTAAATATCTAGAGTACGATTACTCATAGCATTCTAGGTTATAACACCGCATATATTTTACCTGTAAATTTTGATACCAGGTTTAATAGCTCGACAAACTTGAATAATTTCAAACCCAATGTTCTCCCCTTCCCTGTCGCAATCCGTCCATAGGACAAGTGCTTGGCAGTTTCGCACTTCTCGTTCCAATGTCTTTTTAATATCCGCATAATTCTGAATACACTGCTTCACTACAAGAGCATCGAACAGACTCAGCGGATGACAACCTTCCCATCTCCGATAGGATCCCACAAATTCGTAGCCCAGAAGGTGTCCAGAGACCGACGTCATAATCATCTTACAATTTTGATTCCATAGTTGTAAATTGAATTCGTATATTTTATTGAACTTGGATAAACCTTCTCTCTAAAAAGAAAAAAATAGTGTTAATTATTGACACATTATCAAATCTATCCTGTACATAAGAAACAGAAATCAATTTACTCGAGAACTATTTCCTTTGGATAAATGGAGCGAGATATTTTTGGCGGCATCGTTCTTCTCGGCAACATTTAGAACCTTCATAGTTGCATTTGCGGTAATCACTTGTTTTTCTTTTAAATATAAACAAAATGTAACATAAGTTACATCTATCTTAGTGCACAAAGAATTCAAACGGAACACGGACCATCCGGTGCAAAGCATCTCTATTTGACGCAATTATTTTCTTTTCTCCTTTTTTTATTAGATTCGCGAGAGGATCGGTCGTCGACTGCCTTTTTCTCAAAGTAATCTATTTCCATTATCGAATACATCCAAGCATCAAGCATGTCTTATTTGCCCATAGGTTCTGGAAGAAATTTCTGATTAAATATTTGCCTCATAGGAGTTGCGGAATACCACCGGGTAAGATAATTACCTCAGCAGCGGCATTACTTACTTTGTCCTTTACAGAATCAATCGGTCATGTCAGCTTTCTAACGTTTACATTGGTAAATACTAGAATCCACCGAGTTTCTCCACTCGTATATCAATTGCACGGATAACATCGTACAGTCACGAGAATATGTAATGTGCCACAAAATGTGGGTTTTCGATTTGTTAAATACTCTCACTACTTGTTGAACCTGGTCAATGACATAGGCAAGAGATACTTATAGGTGTCGACTCCTCTACTCCCTCCTCAAAATTATTCCAGTAGTTCCAGAGCAAATCACTGTAGCGCTAGTGAGCTACGTCATTTTGCGCGGGGTATACAAAACCTTTATAAATTACATTATTTCTTGCTTAAATGAAATCAATTATTACAGTGAAATGTATGAAGTAAACGGTCTTTGGTACGATGTAGTAGAGAGTGTAAAAGTGCTTGTCACATGTTACCCCTTCAGTGGCGACGCAACACATTTCTGGTGGGGGCTCTCGCAATCACGATGGCAGATACAAGGTTTGAACCCTTTTTCACGGGTCCATGAAAGGGAAAATAAGGGAAAATAAAGCTATACGAAGGAAGAGTCATGGATAGAATGGCGAACGGTGTAAAGGAGTGATTGTATTTGACACAAACTACAGCATGATTTTCATTCAGAGAGACCGCAAGGCGAATGCATTTACGCGATCCGAGCAATCGACTCGTCTACGTGCGTTGGCGGACAAAGAGGCGGGAGCAGTCGGAGCCGGTCGGACGCGATCCGGGAACGGGGCATCTCACGGTCTCCGCAGGAGGTAACGCAACCGGTGGCCCATCCTCGTGGAACGGCTACGACCGAGCCGCGGAGAGAAGGTCGGGACGCGCCGCTCGACGTCGTCGCGGTCACCGGCCGATCGCGGCCCTCCCACGGCCAGCGGCATCCTCTCGAACTCGGTCGACTCCTCCACCTCGGGGGCCCGGTCGACCGTCGCGTCGCCGCGGCCCAGTCTCGGGGTGAAGACCTGCATCGGGTCTCGCTTCCCTTCGAACGGAAGAAGAGGGTCAATCGGCGGCGGCGCTGCCGCGCCCTTTGCGCGCCGCTTACCTGGCCGAGCGGCGAGCAGACTCCACGGGCCCACCCCGGCCGCCTCCTCCTCCTCCTCCCGGATGGCGTCGACGATGGCGCCGATGGCGCCGACGTCCTCCTCCGAGATGCGCGGCCCTCCCGAGTCCTCCTTGGAATCTGCAACGAGTTCCTCCGTGGCCGATCGCGACGAAAGGCTTGCCGCGGGGTCGGGCTTACCGCGCTGTCCCAGGACGAGGGTTGCCGAGAGCGCCAACAGGCCGAGGCCCCCGAGGAATTTAACGTGGCCGATCATCTCCTCTCGGTGCACCTTCGTCTCTTTGTCGGCTGCTGGCGAGTGACGGCCGCCTCGAACGAGAACCGCGGTTTTATAGCGACGTCTCGGTCGGCCCTTTCGCGCCCGACGCACGCGCGAGCACCCGAGAGCACCTGGGGGCACCCGGGGGCACCCGGCCGCGGTGCGAAAAAACACGCTCGTTTGTCTCAATTTGCCCCGTGGGAGAGGGCGACGGAGACGGAGACGGAGACGGAGACGGAGCGAGCCGACTGCCGGCTCGAGGAGTCGGTCCACCCACGTCCGACGGAAGTCGCCAGCGGGGAACAGCCGAGTAATGACCGGACTCGGAATGGAAACGAGCCCTACTTTCCCTCCCGCGCCTTCCGGAGGGCGTCCATGGAATTCCCTGAGCCGCCCCACGTCGCGCCTCTAATAAATTAACGGAGCCGGAGGTTTTCCGCGTCGCCGACTCCGACCCCCTCGATCGCGGAGTTAACTTGTCAATTACCCTCGATTCAATTTGGAGGGAGCGACGCCGTCGCGTCCCGAGCCCGGCCTGAGCCCGGCCCGGTATAAAGACGCGCGTCGGGACGCCTCCCGGACACCCGTGCGCGAGTCCGCCCGGACGGCGTCGCGGCGCGAATGGGTCTCGATCGGACCGAGTTTTCTTCCTCGAAATCGCGAGGAAAGGATCGATTCGACCGAATCGGGCTGAGAGTCGATTTCCTATCTTCCGAGTGAAAATGCCAAATTCTTTGGACCGACGGGACGGCGGGACGGCGGGACGGCGGGACGGCGGGACGGCGGGACGGCGGGAAACGTTTTCAGCGCGAGTGTCCACGTCGTAAAGTATCCGATTGAATGTCATCCTTTCGTTTGAACGTTGCAAAATCGCTTGAATTGCCTACTTTGCGCATTTTTCCTCAATTCGAGTTACAAAAACGACCCCCGGATCCGTTAACGAGCCGAAAACGCCCTCCCCTTTAATCTCTTCGAGTGGCGCGGCACTGAGAAGCGCGCCGACATATTGCGGGGGTTCCGCCGCGCTGCGCCCGTAACCGTAATCGAGTTACGGCCGACGGTAGTCGCCCTAATGGGTTCCACGCCTTTGCCGTTATCGCGGGGACGCGCGCCGCTTTTTCGAGTCATCCGATCGAAGAACGCGGAACGCGAACTCGGACTCGCGCTTCTTCCCGAGTGGCCGGACGGCTCGAGGATCGGCGGATTCCATTCGCGCCGCCGAACTCCGCCCCGCGGCCATCTTCTTTCCCTCCCCTTGCCGCCGCCAAAGAGCCGCCATCGCGATTCGGCGGGAAAGGTGCGCGGCCGCGAGAGGACCGTCCTTGGATCTCGGCCCGATCCCTCGCGGCCCTCGGCCGACCGCCTGGCTTCCGCGCCGAGGGAGGGCGCACTTGTACGCCACTCGGTAACTCGACTCCGATACGGGGCCGGCGCCGGGTGAGTTATGTGACCGCCGGTGCCACCGCGTCCCGAGGAAGTCTCTCTCTTCGACTTCCGACCGTCCGCCGCGCCCGCCGCGCCCGCCGACGGGCTCGCGAAAACGCTTGCCGCCGTTTGACGACGAACCCGGCGCCACGTAATCCGACGCCGAACCATCGTCCGAAGGAAGCACTTTCGAGCCGAGTCTACGGAACCGTTTGAGGCAGTTGGAAACTTTATTTTTCAATTCTAAAGAGAGACACGGAGACAACTTGCAAGTCCCAGTTCTTTAACATCGAGTACCACTCCGATGTCGCGTTTACGGAGACCGTCGACTCGGCATACTCCATTTATTTCACTTAAATTACAAGGTCGAATCGAGGAAACGGAAAAAAGATACAGAGTAAAGAAGAACGCGGGAGAGGGCACACGAGGCCCCGGGGTTGCTTGCTGGGATACACGGTTCCTCCAAAAGCGAGGCGGCACCCAGCTGGCGCGAACCAAGGAGGCCTCGCGTGCCCGACGTCGGGCTTCCGGGATCTAGAGGTGCGCGGAAACGCGGGAACGGTCGACCGGTACTCGGCTATTTACAAAGATATACCCGGAGGTCGATATGCACGCGACATTATTTACACGCTACGATCGTTCTCGGGAGAGATCTCGATCGGGACTTTGAACCCGATCCGCCAGGTCGCGGGCGAAAGGGGCGAAAGGGGCGAAAGGGGCGAAAGGGCGAAATCCTCACTGCATTTGAGCTTGATTGGACGGTTCTTGCTTAAGTTCGAGCGCCCACATGTGCTGCGGCCACCCAGTGCGGCCCTTTCCTTTCGCGGTGTCGTCGGGCGTCGGAGGACCCGCCTCGTGCTGTAACAGATATGGACACGTTTTTCTCTTTCCCTTCCAACGACAAGCGGCGCGTCGCCCGCGACCGACACCAACCTTGGCGGAGGGGGCCCTGTGACCTCTGCGAGCATGGCCGGCGGCGCCGGGCAGGAACTCGGCTCTGAAGGCCCGCGGCGGCGCGTCGGCGGTCTCGTCGCTCTCTAGAACGGCCATCAGGTAGCCGATGTAGGAGGCCGCCAGCCGGAGGGTCTTGATCTTGGACAGCTTGGTGTCGGCCGGCACGTTCGGGATGCAGTCTCGAAGGTCGGCAAAGGCATTGTTGATGCTCTGCGTCCGCCTGCGCTCCTTCTTGTTGGCCGTGTTGCGCTTCTTGGGCTTGACGGGCAGAGTCGTCCCCTGGAGCGAGTCGCCCGCGGCGACGTCGCCGAGCGGCCGCGCCGGGTCGTCCGGGCGGATACAGAGGAGAGGCGGCGGGGCGTAGCGCCGGTCGAAGACGCATCGCGGGGTCGCCGGGGTCGCCGCGGCCGCCTCCTCCAGCGACGAGTCCGCCCCGGAGCTGTCGCCGGAGACGAGGGCCGGCTCCGTCGGCCAGAAGGCCTCGCGCTCGTCCCGACCAGGGAACGGCGGGCCGTCGAGGAAGACCGTGCCAACCGAGCCGGCCGAACCGCGAGGGCGGCGCTCGGCGTACGGAAGCTGCGCGGCGTAACCGTAGGGCTGATGCCACTGGGGATAGTAGTCGGCCTGGGACTCGTAGCCGCTGAGCATCTCGACGAGTCGCGTCGCACGGCGCGGACGTCTCCGGCCGACCGGAGGAAGCGAGCACCGATGCGAGAAGTCGCGCGCCTCGGATCGACCGACCGTCGCGATCGCCCGCTCGGGACTGCGCGGCCCGGCCGCCGGCGGCGCCGGGCCGGCGTAGCTCGGGGGCGGGACCGAGCCGGGGACCGCCCCTTCCAATGGGAGGTCGGGCCGGGGGTGCCCGACCCGGCAGTCCCTCGGGCCACGCCCCCGTTCGATCTCCGCGGACGGCCGAGGACCGCCGAGGACACCCGAGGGCCCGGAGAGGGCTACCGGGTCTGTCAAAGGGAGAAGCGCCGACCACTTACCGCGTCGGCTGTTCAAATGTCTTTCCGAGGGATAACGACCCCGTTCGAGCGACGACCGCGAGGCCGCGGAGCGGAGGGACGCGATGCGATCCAGAGCCCTCTCGAAATCCCGATTATCTCGGGCGGCGCGGAAGCTGCCAAGGGCCGCAGCGAACGGCCTCGAACTCGAGAGCCCGAGGACCAGGGCCGCTTCTCGGCGGGGCGAAGAGGGAGCGCGGCCGGAGGCGGAAACCGACGCGAAGAGACGAGAGAGATACCACGTGTCGTCAAAGTAAATAAACAAACTATCCTTGGTAGCTGTTCGGCGATGCGTCGCAGAGCCCGCGCGGGCGCACGCGCCGGTTACGCGTTCCGGGGTACGCGGTGATACCGAAAATCCAGAGGAGGCGGTTCGGTTCCCCCCGGAGCCCCCGGGCGCCGGTCGGCGTCCGTATCGAGCGGAGGACGGGCCATGTGGCGTTCACCGAGATATCGAATCATACCGCGTACGCCGCGCCAGCCACGCCAGGCCGCAACTAAATTTAGTTTATTGCGTTACCGAGTATTAATGGTGCTTTTATACAAACGTTAAACCGGATTTAGACGTCGTCCGCTATCCGGAGAAAACGAGCGTGGGCGCCGGTTCTTCTCGGGAGAGTCGCGAGGACGCCCGAGACTTATCGACTCTCCCCGCCGAGGCTATTCCTTCCCAAAGCGTGCGACCACTCGAGACGGCGATCTCTCTTCATATTTCACGCTTATCCGTGGCTCGACTCGTCCGGTGCCCGAGAGCCCGGGAGCCCGGGAGCCCGGGAGCCCGGGAGAGGCTCCTTTTTGCGTTGATAACGGCTCGCCTCGATGCGGGGAGAAAGCGCCAAAACGCGCGTTTCCCACGCGAGTCGCCGACTCCCCGGGGATCCGTTGCGGGCATTACGACCCTTGCGACGCCCTAAATGGATTCGCCCGACTCCGACGTTCGCGCCTGCATTACTTAATTACGCGCGACGTTTTTACAGGGACGTATCTCCCGCTCGACGCCGCTCCGAGCGCCTCTCGATCGATCCTCGAGCTCCCTCCGGGAGCCGGGTGTCGATTACTTCCACGGATCAAACAGACGGACCATTGTTACGGTCGACTTGGCCGCTGCCGACCCGGACTCGACCCGGACTCTACCGGGACTCGACCCGGACTCGACCCGGACTCGACCCGACCTTCCCCTTGGAGAGTCGAAGGAAGGCCGAGGAAACGCTCCCGACCGGGAGTCGGGTTACGCTCCCTCGAAAGCGTCTTTGGCCCGTACCGGCGCACTTTGCGGCGCCCGCTCTCGATTTGTCTTAACGGCTCTGGGAGGGGGTCGGGTCGGGACCGACCGGACGAGCAAGCGAGTCGGGATAGGCGATCGTTGACGATAGGGAAAGCGCCCGGACAGCCGAGTCAAGCGACTCGGGTCTCCGGAGCGATCGAAACCGCTTCGAGGTCCACGGGCTGGGTCGCGCCGTCGGCGACAACGCTCTCGTCCTTTCTTCTCGCGCTAGGTGAATTCTCATCGGCAGAAAAACCTCGGTTAACCGATCCTCCGCAGCCGAGGTCGCAGGATCCCGGCCCTGGAATCCTCGTGTCCGGTTTCCGCCTCCCAAACGCATCGCCCAGCACGACGAAGGGCACTTCGAAGAAGAGGTACGTCCCCACGGAAAGGATCAGCGACAGGGCCAAGTTACCAAAGAACCGGTGTACCTGCAACCGCTTGTTCGCTTACAAGGCAAACCCTCCGAGCGGGAGCAACGCCCTACGCCCTTCGCACTTACCACGTTGAAGGTCGAGAGGACTCCGGCGGTGCGCGCGACTCCCGCGCCGTAGAGGATGACGACGTAGTGCGTCAGGTAGACGGAGTAGGTGAGCCGACCGAGCGGGGACCACCCCGTCCACGAGAGGAAGCTGCCGACGGGACCTGGGGAAAAGACTCCTGTCGCCTGAGCGAACGACCCGGCCCGGCCAACCGCGACCACTTACCCGCGTGTCCGTGCACGCACGCGAAGACTATCCACGAGACCGAGAGCGCGAAGGCTTGCCGGTGCAGACCCGCGTAAAAGCTGGCCTCCAGGCTGTCGTAAGGGTGGTCCGCGAAGTACATCCCTCGAGGCCCGAGGACCGCGGAGAGCCCCGCCGAGACGGACGCGATCCAGCCGACCCAGACCCAGACCTGCAAACGGAGCGCCTCTTACGATGCGGCCGGCAACGCCCGGGTATCCCGATCCACTCACCGGAGACATCCTGACCGATTGGCCGCCGACGGGCCGGGTCCGGTGCAACAGGTAGCCGAGGCCGAGACCGATGACGTACGGACCCGCCCTCGCGTAGACCCTCGTGTAGACGAGCAGGTAGACCCTCGCGACCTCGAGTTGGCTGCGGAAAGAGCAAGATGAGCTACAGCCGCGGGGAGGGGGCGACACTCACTCCTTGTAGTAGAGCATGGTGCCGGTCAAGCCGTGGAAGTAGGTGACCAGGAAGGGCGCGAGGGCGGAGGCGAAGATCCCCGCGCCGAGGATCGAGTAGAACAGAGCTCTCCTTCCGCGCTCGAGCATGGGCCAGAGGAAGACGGGCGAGATCCAGAGGAGCTGCATGTCGACCGCCAAGTACCAGGACTGCGAGAGGCACTGGAATCATTCGACGTTCATTCCACGTTCATTCGCCCGTCCGCCTCGGCCCGGCCAGAGGGCACGTACGATCGAGTCGACGTTAACGTAGTTGTTGACGTAAAGCAGATTGGCCCACCAATTGTCGCGGCAGTTGTCCCGCTCGGTTCCCACCCATCGACGCCACCTCGGCCCGGAGCCGATCTTGTCGAAGAGGGTAGCGTACAGCCCGATCGTCATGGCGTACGCCGGGGTGAGCCTGCGCAGGCGTCGCTTTCGTTAGGGGCTACGCGGACTACGACTACTCGAAAACCGAACCGAAACTCACCTTACGTAACGGTGCGCGTACAGTCCCCGAATGTCCAACTTGTCCTCGGGGTGCCTCCGCTTCCTGGAAAGCGCCCCGCGGGCCAGCAGGGTTCCGCCGAGCAGGAAGAACGCATCGGTGGCGACGTTGCCGTTCAATATCGGGAGATTGGCCCAGTTCTCGTGCATCTGTTTCCACCGACGAGGTCTCTCGTTCAGGATCGGTCGCCGGGGGGGACCCGCCTCTTCGCTTACCTTTGGCACGGCCACGAGATCCAGCTTGGCGTCCATCGCCTCGACGTAGTAGGTATGTCCGAGGACGATCCAGCACATGCCGAGGAAGCGTATGCCGTCCAGACACGCGATCGAGTCGTCCGGTCTTTCGGTCCTCAGTAACCGTTTGCCGTTCGAGTAGACCGAGAAGGCGGTGACGAGCGAGTGCCTCGGTCCTGCAATTAACCGTTGGAGGGTCGCTCGGGGTCGCTCGGGGTCGCGGCCGTCGACATCGACCCCGCTGCGGATCGCTCGCCAGGCCGTCCACGACACCTACGAGGAACGGGGATGGCGAGGGTCGAGGCTTCCTTTTCTTACCTTTTCCCTCCCTGTCGTCCCGGGCGGCGAGATCGTAAGCCGTGCTCCCGACGACGACCACGCAAAAGACCAGCAAGACGGACCTGCGAACGGAGAACGGCGGCGAGTCGGATGTTTACGGGAGACGTCGATCGATTAAGCGTTCCCTTACGCGTAGGCCCAGTCGGCCGGACTCCAGGAGGCCGCGTCGGTCACCGCGGTGCGACAGGAGTCCCGAGACAGCCGCACTCGCAGGTCGACCCTTCCCGGGACCCGGAGAGGATCCAGCGCGGCGTCCACGGATTCCGCGACCTCCGTCGCGTTGCACGAGGCCGGCACGCACCAGGTCCACTCGTACGCGACGGACGTCCCCGTCCTCTCCAGAAGGTCGCTCGCTCCCTGGGGAAAGAACCCGAGTCCGCAGTCGCGTTCGCGCTCGAGTCCGAACCGCGAGTACCTACCGCGGCCAAGGCCACGTTCTCCAGGAGGTCCCGCGCGTCCCTCGCCGTGGCCGGCGCGGCCGGCGCGGCCGGCGCGGCGTCCGTCCTTGGGACGGCGAACTGGACCGTCGCGCTGCACGCCTGCCCCGCCAGGCCGCTCTCGGTCCGGACGCGGAGGCATTCGTCGTAGTTGCCGAGCTGTCGGTAATTCCCGGTCACGACTCCCGGCGGAACCTTCGCGGACGCGTCGTACACTGGAAATATCGGGCGAGAACGACAAGGTGAACGACTGGCCGTTATCGCTGTCGCTATCGCTATCGCTATCGCTATCGATATCGATATCGATATCGACTTCACCGTCGTCGACCCAACGGAGGACGCGCGCGAATCCTCGACGACTTTGCGACCGAGAGTCAATCCGGTTGCCGAGTCGGGAAGGATCGTTTTTCGTACGTTTAACGAGGAACGCGACGAAAGGCGCGTCCAACGGTTCTATCGAGCGATCGGCAGCACGCTCGCGCGTCCCCGATCCGTGTCGCGTTCGATGGAAAATTCGGGACCGCGTCGAGGATCGGCTCGATCGAAGGAAACTCACTCTGGAGGGCCCAAGGCGCGTAGTTCCGAAGGGCCTCGAGGTACTCTGCGGCGTCTCGGCGACAGGCCGCCGAGGCGGATCGTCCCGGGGTGAAGGGCCGCGTCAGCGCCTGCAGCAGGACTCCCTCCGGACTTGCGGCCTCCGCGGCCCCTCCCAGCCCGAGTACCAGAGCCACCGCGATCGGGTGCATCCTCGTCGATGGCGATGTCCTTCCTACCTGCTTCTGGCCTCTCCTATCTATTTATCTATACATATATACCCGCGACCCACCTCGCGCTCCCACTGCCCCACCCAGTGGGGAGGGATCACGGAGAACGACCGGTACCTTCGCTCCTGCGCACCTTGTTTTCCTCGTCCCCTGACACGGCGCGCGCGGCGATTCGTCTTCCCCCCTTCCACTTGGCTTATGAGCCGTGGCCGCAGGTTTGGGCCACTGGTAATCGCCTTCGCGTGTATTTAGCCATAACGAACACTGGCGGTCATGAATGGCTTCCTCGTGTACATACATCATGTAGCCTGGTGGTGGTAACGTAAACGTAACGTAAAAAACGAGCTCGAGAACATAAGTTCTCTTGTACTTGCGGTACCTGATGTATAATAAACTGTAAAATAATTAATGTAATAAAGCAACTTATTCAACGATAAGATCCTTGAAAACCACTCATAGACCTAAGGCACAAAACTCAGTGCCACCTCCTCGGTTGTCCTATGATCCTGTTAGAAATCGGAAATTTCAACCCCTAAAAGTTTTGCCCGGGAGACACTCCGTGCCACCTCCTCGGTTGTCCTATGATCCTGTTAGAAATCGGAAATTTCAACCCGGGAGAATTCCATGCCACCTCCTCGGTTGTCCTATGATCCTATTCCATCTCTGGCGATTTGTAACAGGAACATAGGATAACCGAGGAGGTGGCAGGGACCTTCTCCCGGGCATACATTTTAGGGGTTGAAATTTTTCGATTCGTAACAGGAACATAGGATAACCGAGGAGGGGGGATGGAGCTCCCCCCAGGCATACATTTTAAGGAAAAGACGTGAATTCACGTCAGCGGTACCCAGGGAAGGAAACGACGTGAATTCACGTCAGCGGTACCTAGGGAAGGAAAAGACGTGAATTCACGTCAGCGGTAACTAGGGAAGGAAAAGACGTGATTTCACGTCAGCGGTAACTAGGGAAGGAAAAGACGTGAATTCGTGCATAGTGCCATAACCATTTTTCTTAGTAAAACATGGTCCACCTTTAGTTACTTTTTTTGGCATAATAGTATCTCATGTTATGCAGTGCTGTGGTAGCACTTCATTTTGATCAATACATGAACCGTGCGAAACAATACAGCATAAATTGTTATTAAATGCACAAGTCCATAAAATTTAGATTGTTATAGCAATTATGTATCTAATGAAAACTGACAATTATAATCAAATAAACACCATTAGCAGTTTTAACGTTCATACAAAACCAGTTTCAATCATTGCCAGGGTCGTTAAACTTGTAATGTTAAATTAACAGATCTTACTATCCATCGTTACAGGGTCGAGTTTTCTTGAGAGCCCCAGCCGATCGAATTCAACATTTCACATACATCTTTAAACACTTTTTCCGGAGAACGTACAGAATTGAACTTATAAACAAGCCCTAATTTCTCATAATGTTGTACAATGGGTAATGTATCCTGCGTGTAGGTTCGATGTCTTTTCTTTAAAGAATCCTCATTGTCGTCGCTACGGCCACTTCCTTTCTTACCACGATTCAAGCAGCGTTGAGTACAGACCTCTTCGCTACAATCCAAAAACAGGATCCCCTTCAGAAGTACTTTATCATCCATTACCTGCAAATAAGTACGAATAAGCGAAAGCGTCAGTCGGTCTAGAATTTAGACCATCAAAACGTACTCTGTTCCATCCGTCGAGGTTATCCTTATTCCTGGGAAAGCCATCGACTAAAAATCTATTATATGGACCGTTGGACGATCTCATGGCCCGCTGTAGAAGGTTGCAGGTGATTTCTACGGGAACGATGGTGCCATTGCGTAGGTGGCTTTCTATCAATTCTCCATACTGCGAACCCGGCTTTGAACGTTCCTCGCGCAGAAGGTCACCTGCCGATAGGTGAACGTAACCGCACTTTTTCACGATGTTTTTGCATACGGTCCCTTTTCCGGCTCCCGGTCCACCAAGGACGAAGAGCACTTCGGGTTTGGGCTGAAGTGTACACATCGCAATGCGTTTAACTTCGAAAACGAGGACGCTCCGCATCCAAATCCTAACTTACAATTCAATCATTCCGAGTATACGTCTACCACTGCTTTGTGTCGCTCGACTCGTTTCGGCGCTTCTCGACACTCTTCGGCTCTGCTCGATGTTCCTCGACGCTCCTCGACACTCCTCGACTCTTCTCGGCCAGACAAGCCACGTCCTCGAGCTCGTCGTTCGCGGTCACGCGTGTTTTTCCTGTTCATTCTTGTTAATGCGAAGATCACAAGGCTGCCAACCGACCCGTCCCGACAATGGATATAATTTTACGTTCTATCTTACACCGATTGGGGGGTACATTTCCACAAGTGTAATAGCCTATCACACAGATGGTACACTCAAGCTCAAACCATTGCATCATACTTTCATTCTAGCAGAGAGCTGATTCTAGAAACTTCACATTTTCACTCGGGGAATGTACTCACGTGAGATGACAACCCGATAAGTGAGCACTCTCGCCAAAAATACAGAATCGACCCCGTAATGTTTTCACGCTCATGACGATTATAATTCGGGATATAAAAATCGAATACAGTAGACTAGATGCAAATATTTAATTGTAAAAGAGATTGATGACATAACTGTGTGTGTGTATCCCCATTCAAATAGTTTTTTTTTTAAGGTTATAATAATCCTCAACCATCCTATGAGATCAAGAATTATTATAGTCATGTAATTATACATACTGATGTATTTAAAGGCATCATATAGTTCGTATAATAAAAAATATTACCACTTAAATCAAGCCAATGAATGTATTAAAATAAACGGTGAAATTCATTCGCATTTGTAAAGAAAACGTTACTTACATACTTATTCCTTAAATGGAAAATACTTCGGATATACAGAGATGTGAGATATATAAGGTTTTGCTTCCAAAAGTTTTCCGGGGATGTGAGCATCATGGATAGCGCGTATTTGCAATTTATTCCTTGGTTTCTGCTGCACTAACTTCTTCTTTGATTTCACTTTTTCCTTCTCCTTACCTCTCTGACCACCTGCTTGCTTTTCTCCCGGAGTATGATTTTGTCTTCGATAATAGATTACTTCTCCTGCTAAAGTAATCATTGCCAGAGCCAGTCCAAACAACGTAGCTATAAATACTCCACCTAAAAGACATGCGTATTCTCGAGAAAATCAAATATATCAATCTTTTATGGCATTCCCGTAAACTTCGCAGAATCACCAACTTTTATATTAGACCATTCGTGTGAAAACTGTTTCCTTTGCAGCCGAAACAAAATTTTATATCATGCCGAACTTTACTACCTACCTAAGCTCTCCAGTGTAATACCCTCGTCGTCGTCCGAATATTGACAGGAACCTTTCAACGACTGATTCCAATATTTCGATGTCAAGGACTCGAAAAATCGATCCTTCTGAAGATCCAATATCCTGGAATTAAATATGAGATTGCAACGTATGCGCGTTGATTTTCCGCTCGGGGCCGCTCTTTGCTTTTACTCGGGACAATAGGAGAAGATTTATTAGCTGCGTACAAGTTTCAAGGACATACTTCCTGCTAATTTCTTCTTGAAGATGGCTACCCTGTTGTACCGCAATTGCAAACGGCTGTTCGGCGAAAATGTCACCGACTTCGGTCAAATTACAGTTTCTGGTTACCTCGTACTTAATTCGAGACGAGTCGTGAATAAAGGCAAACTCGGCGTTCTCGCTGTCGATCACCTACGAAAGTCGAAAAGGTAAAGCTCAATCTTAACGCGGATCGAAGTCGCCGAGACCTTTAGAAGAGGTCGAAACATTTCCGACTCGAAGGCGGACTTGAATCCGGCTCTCAAAGGATGACTGAAAAATGAACTCCCAAACCTTTTGAAATCCTTCCTCGGTAGATTTGACAGGTCCCGCTTGCATTATTGCCTGCAATATGTGACCGTATTGTTCCTTTATTGGATAATCCCAAACACGGTACTCGATCTGATCGGTAGAACTGTTCAGAGTAATCTCTTTCCATACGCTGAAAAGGGAAGAAAGTAAATGTAAAGACAGGCGACACCGCGAAGAGGGCTTCGCTCCTCCTTCCGCTCACGTGTAAAGCTTATCCTCAGCTTTCTTCATATTTATAAAGTAGTCATGGACACTCGAGTTGGCAAGAACGGTGTAGTTTATCCGAGATTGTCGAGCAAGTTGTTCCAGGGACTGCACAGGCGACTGGAAAATCCATAATTATCGAAACGTTTCGAATATTATCCGTCCCGTTAACGGTGCATGTCACCGATTCTTCCAACGTCCAAGAAGCCCTTCGGGATTCTCTTTAGAAGGAGCGCGGACAAATCGATAGGAACGACCGTTCGAACGTGCACCTCGTCCAGAACGGTAGTTTCCGGAGGCTCACCTGCATTCTCTCGACGGTCAGGAAAGCCGCCAGATTGGCGGTAAACGTGGCGAGCATCAGGACGACGAACAACCAGTAAGCTGCGACGAGCGTTCGACTCGACAACGCTTTGGGAGCCTCGCCCCCTCCCTGGGGAGTAAAGGACGTCAACGCGAACCAGAAGCTTTCCTTTAAGGTGAACTCCCTGAAACAGAGTTCAATTTGAAAATGAAGGTCGAACCCTCGACCTTTTCGGACCCGCAGCCGTTACTCGTTAGGTACGAAGCGAACTCGACGTACCTGCAAGGGTACGGATAAAGTCCTTTGTTATTTCGTGCGCTGTACGGGGAATACTTGTCGAGCAGCCAGATCATGATTCCTGTGAGCGTGAGCGCCCCGACGATGCTCAGCCAAACCTCCAGGCGAAGTACCGTCATGAACTTGAAGAGGGACGTCTTGCGCACGGGTTTTCTCATTGCTCCGATTCGATTCGTGTCGTTCCGTTTGATCGCGTTTTCAATTAGCAAATAGAAGAGTCAAACGTCAATTTATGATGCTGAGAGGGCTAGCAGAAAATCGGCCGCCACGCCACGGGAGAAAGCACGACATAATCGACGGATCGATAGATGGGATCAAGAGCAACATCGTGTACGGGGTATATCCTTGCGAAAAGCTTTACTCCGGTCGGCCACATCCATGGCGTGCGAAAAATACCCGAGTGCGTCTTAGCGGAAAATACGTTGCGTGCTCCGGGTCTTCCGAAACGCGCGCGAGTACTCGCGGTCAAGTTTACTTTTTGTTACTGATTTGTTTCGGAGTGACATACCGATCAGGAGCCCCGACTGTTCGAAGTACGGAGCTACGAAATCGACAACTTCCTCGCGATCGGACGTCATCGTGAGAGCAGCGACTACGATGTCCGTTTCCTGTTATCGATCGGAACGGACCCAATTAACCGATTAGAAAGTCGTGAATCTGGACCACTAATTTTACTCGGTGATTCGTAAAATCCACCTGAAGAAATAAATACGTACCCCACGGGACAAATCTCCCACGAGACCGTTCCACTTGCCGTTCGGTAACTTGGTCCCAAAGGAGTTGTCCTTCGGAACGACGAGCTCGTAATCAAAGTTCATCTCCTGGGAAAGCTGCTCGACGAAGTCAATGCAATAGCCTTCCCACATTACGTTCCCATTTCCGTCCGTCACCGGAAGTCCGGTCGCGGCGTCCCTTCGTATCATCGACCACGGAATCGCCTGTGCCACAAATCGTAATAGGAATCAATGCTCCGACTCGGACGTCGAAACCCGCCGAGGAACCGAGGAACGGTGCCTCACCTCTGCGGTTCCAACGCGAAAGAATCTCTTCGCTTGAAATATCCGCCTGCCGGGCGCGGTGGTGATCTTCCGCTTCCTGGTCCATTCTCCGAGTTTCTCGAGGTATCCACGGTCGAGAGTCTCGAACTCGATCTCAGCCCGAAACTGAATCGTCGACGTCTCCGTCGCGTACTCGAAAGTGTCGTTGCCGCCGATCCTCTGGAAGGTGATCGAGTCAACGGGGGAGGTGGTCCCGGGTATGGGCCTCGTACTCACCGCGACGAGGATCTTGCCGAAGGCGTCGACGGCGTCGACGGCGTCGACGGCGTCGACGGCGTCGACGGCGTCGCGCGGTCCCGGTTTCCTCGAGGCCACGGCGCCGCACCGGCCGGTCCTGGGCTCCATGCCGATTCCGGACCTTTGCACCTCGCTCGTCGTCCCGACCAGCAGGTCGATCAGCCGCTTCAAGTAGTGCGGCAGGTTCTGAGAGAAGCGAACCGATTACGGGGAGACGAGAGAGGGAGAGGGGGGACGGCCGAGGCGGCCCGACGTACCTGGAAGTCCGGCGGGCACGAGCACGTCGTCTCCCCGAGCAGGCGGCAGCACACGTCGTTCTTCATGGTGATCACGCTGACGGAGACGTTCAACGCCGTCTTACCGGAAATGTACTCGAACTCGCGGTAATTACTGTCCGTGAAGACCAAGTTCCAGACGTCGTTCCGCTTGACGAGCCCGCCATCTATCGCCTAATCGTACAACGCAACTCGGTCACCGATCGAGATATCGAACCTTCGCGCCGACTCCTTAAGCGGAACCGACCCATCCTTTCTAATCGCCACTCAAAAGGAATTACCGTCTTAAAAAGGCTGCCCATCTTTGGAGTACTGGCAAAGATAGCATAATACGTCGGCGATGGCCTCATTGCTCGAATCTTCGCTACCGTCGCATCGGACAGTTCATCGATTACGACCAATCGGATGATGGAGTTACCGATCAGATAGTACAGCGTTTGATTCAGTTCTGCAACAATCGATAGGTACGATCGCTCGCGCATTCTCCCCAATGACTAGGCTCGAGGTCGCTCGAGGTCGGCTCGAGGTCGGCTCGAGGTCGGTTCGAGGTAACTCGCGTTTCGCGTAATCGCGAGGGGTATAACCGAGTTCAGTTTCCGATCGATTAGCTCGAGAGAAAATGAACCGACGTCCACCCGTTGGAATCGACCGGGTTAGCCAAGGAGGATTTCGTTCGCTGTACGGTTTCTCCCCCTTGGTCCGCAACTTTACCCTTTTCCGACTCGAAAATCATCGCAGCGTCCGTAGCGTTTTTCATAACGAGGAAATCATCCAGAGCTTGGACGTAGGGCGTCAACGTCGAGTCGGCTCGTTCATATATTATGTCCCAATCGGCGGCCAACGATCGAAGCTGGTCCCAGCCCGTCCACGTCATGTCCAGTATCAAGCTGATCCCGCGATAAAGCGAGGCGCACACTGTAACAAAGTAGCCGAAGTTGACACGCTGCCGCCGTCGCGAAATCGCTCCAAGAGTCTACCGGAACACCTTACCCTGCTGATAACTCTGCTCGACGTTTTCTCTGTCCACCTTGACCGCCGACACGTGGATGGCGACGACGTCGTTTCCGAGCTCGCGTTCCGCATCGTAGACGGCTTCGTTGAACAAACCGATAACGGAGGCATCCGCCTCTTCGACGGCTATCACTGAAATGTTCCGTTTAAATGGAAGCGCAACGTGCGTACTCGCGGGACCCTTGAGAACAGCCGCGCGACTCGTTGTTGCTCGTACTTACGCAGATTGAACGGCGTTTGGCAAAATACGCGAGCGAAGAAGCATAACAGGATGATCGTCCGACAGGAGGCCGTATCCGTCTTCATGAGCGTCGTTTGGAAAGAACGCGTTCCCTTTCGTGCATACTATACCCGAGGTACGGACTGGACTCGAACGACTCGCGCCTCGCGCCCTGCGGCGCTTGCGCCGACTCTCCGCCCTTCCTTTCTGAATATTACATCGGTGCCTACACCCGTGGCCTGCACTCGTGGACGGCGGCCTACGCGATGGACGAACCCCAATCGCCCCGATCGAAACGATTCACCCCTCGACCGAGTCTCCTCACGGTTCGATTTGGTGCCACTACTCGAAATCGACGAAAAAAGCGCGAGAAGATCGTGTCCTCATTGACGGACAACTGGTACACGTCGGTAGTTATTATTCGTTGTATTCAGAAGTACGTTAAATAAATATCATGTACAATTAATTGTATCTTGGTTAATACAAACATCTAAGTTAAGAAATTAAAACTAAACTCACTCATAGTTTAGTCGCCAAGTCGTTAAAATTCTGTAAGCGGTTCTCTTCTTTCGCGCGATCGTCAATTGTATGCCGATTTCGAACGATCCGTATCTGAAATGGTTTCAAGATTAGCGACGATTACAAAGCGCGCCGACTGTTAACAAAGGCTTTCGTGTATACACGGAGAACGAAACCCCGGATGAACCAACGGGACCGATGTTTATCTAACACCCTTTTTTATTAGATTCGCGTAATCCGTTGAATGGCAAGGTGTAGCGTGGGAAGGGACCCTGTCCGAAAGAAAAGACAAAGCTCACCTGTACCTTCGGAGGCTGTCATGGCTTGCAATATTCTGAAAGATCTCGACGGAATCGAGCTTCCCATGTACTTTCGTGGCTCCTGTACCTGTTGTTCATTCGCCGGTATTTTTACTTGGTTTTCCTCTGCAAATGAAAAGGATTCGCCAATTGGACGGATAAGACTCCGACGTCCATAAGATTAATCTATAAAAAGGAGTGGAGAAGTCATGCGAAACTCACCAAATGTGGCGGAGTTCCTGTCAGTCTTATTTTTCTGGGAACTCGGCGGTTTGGACCCTGGAAACGAGGTCGCAATTAAAGAGGATATACCGGTTGAAACTCGATGCGGGAAGTTAAAGGAACCTGCAACTTGGTGCCGTACGGAGCAAACCAGGGGAAGAAGAATAAAAAGACTGGCGAGTTACCGATCGACGGTGCCAAGACGTGAGCGGATTCCGTCATGTTTTGTAGACACTGAAAGGCCCTGGAAGGTATCGCCGACCCGCGATACCGAGGATCGGTCACTCGATGAAGATACGTATCGCCGTCAACTGTAACGAATTGCTCCTGAGACCGATTCTCGTCTCTTGACGATCTCCCGATCTAAGTAGATACAACGGATCTGGATATATTTTGAAATCGGTTTACCTTGTTCCTTAAATTTCTCCATAAGATATTTGTCGTCTTCGGTGAGTTGTAACTTCCTCAGAGTCGTGGGATCTACGTCGTTTTGCGTATCGGTGATTTTTTGCAAGACCTTAAATGCTCGCGACTGTACCGGCTGCAACGGCACGGACTCGTGCGCGAGACCGGCCACTGGCACCTTGCTCGCATTCCTGAACGAAATACACGTAAACAAACGTCGAAACGGTGAACGAACCTTCTCATTTAGGAAGCGCGACGGTTGTCCTTTAAATCGTTGACGGAAAGAATCCAAGATAACCGTCTAACCGCTTGACCCGCGTATGCGTATGCGACCGATCGCGCCACTCCCAACGAAACCAACGGGCATTCATTGGACTACGTATCGATAGGTATAAATAAACGAATAAAGGCGCTCTCCCCTCGGGCGTTTACCGCGTTTACGTTCTCGTCGCCTCGAAGCGACCGAGTGCCCGGAACTAGGTCGGACTCTGGCCCCTGGCCCCGATGCGAAGTCGGCCACGGGGTTCGTTCGCGGCGGACCACGACCGTCCGACCGAAATGAACGGTGAAATTGCGAGTCAACGAAATCAAGGTAACGGAACTCCTCGGTACACCGACGTATGTTCGACGTATATTCGAGTTGGACGGACTTACGCGAGGAGGGCTCGACTTTCCGGGACGTCGAGATTAACTCGGGCCGCCGGCGAACGCAGGCGGGCCTCGCTTTCCGCTCCCGAAGCTGTTCTAAAACGAGCGCCATCCTCCCTGTCGGGCACGAGGCGATCGCTATAGGAAGAAGCTCGCTGCCCGGAAGGCCTCGGCGGTTGACACTCCGGAGCGGCGCGTTGGACGCCTCGCGCCGGGTACCGGCCCGGGTCCGGTTCCTGCTCCGGCTCCTCCGGCTCCTCCGAGGGACGACGGCCCGCGAAGACCGACGGTCTGTCCTCGATCTGCGGCGGAGGAATTCGTCGTCAATCTCGTCATTCGCCTCGGCACTCACCTCTACCCTCACCTGCACGGGGATGATCCGCTCGAGGGGCTGGGACCGCTGACCCGGCGCCGCAGCCCCGCTCGCTCGTCTCGCCCATTCCGGGACGTCGTCGGCGGCGGCCTTGCTCCTCTTCTGCAGCCAGGGGGTCGGCGCCTTGGCCAGAGTGACCTGGAGCGGACTGCTCGGCGACTGGGGCGAGGCCGGCCGGGCGACCGGCGGCGCGATCTTCACCTCCACTCGGGACACGGCCCTCGGCGCCTCGACGGCCGGGGGCACGGGAACGGCCACTGGCCCCTCGACTCCCTCGTCGACGGCGTTCTTCGCCACCCGCCGAGCCATGCGCGGGCTCCGAATCTGCGACAGGTCCAGCTTACCTCCCATTCCCGGGGTGTAGGTGAACGGCTTCTTGTCCTTGGTCAGCATGGCGTTCTGGATGGCCGCGGGGGGCTCGTACCGCGGCTGCCCCCTTCCTGTCGCGCCTGCCCCGCCGGGTTCCTGCAACGGCGGAGACGTTTCTTTCCTTTTCGTCGACGATGCGCCTCGCGAACTCGACCCTTACCTGAGCGACGTCGATCCTGAGGGCCGGCAGGCGCCCGGGCTGCGACGGCGGCGGAGGCGGAGGCGGCGGCGGCGGCGGTGACGGAAGCATCGCGGCTCGCCGTCCAAGTTCCTGCAACCGAAAGGACGGGTTCTCGAGGGGTCCCCTCCGGCCGGCAAGGGTCGAGCGGAATGCCCGGACCGGCCGCGGAAACGTATCCGAGTGGATTCGAGATGGAGGGCTAATATTAGCACGGCTGACCTATACGCCGGAGCAACGTATAACGCGCGCGTCGGATTGTCTTATTTTTAGCGTCCACCGCAGCCGCGGTTTTTCCTTCGGCGGAGCGCTCTTGAACCTTCGAGCGTCCTCCCCTCGGCACGGGTTCCGGACCGGTCGCGGAATCGCGAGGCGCTCCCGATTTCGTCCGGCTCCGGCTACGGCGCTTCTCTTACCCACCAGCCGGGTCGGCACCTGGCCGACCGAGTCGAGGTAGCTCGCTCGGAGGACGGAGAAGGACTGCGCAGGACTGCGCGGTGGATCACCGCTGCCGCTCTCTCTCCCCTCCGCGGCCACGACGCCAAAGAAGGGGAAGAGCCGAGTCATTTTCCACCGTTTTCGATCGGCGCTCCTTGGATCATCCGCGCTGGCACGCGCTGGAACTGCGTCCGACGACGGACGCGCGTGGATGCCTCGGATCCGACTCTCGAAACGAGTCTCTCGTACCTCGTTCTCGAAGGAGCGAATCATCGGAAACCTCTCTTTCCTCCTCCGATAGCGGACGATCAGTTTGTCGACTCGCGTAAATCTAAGACCGAAGCTTCGAATGCCCGTGCAGAATTATGAGCTTCGAGAATCGCTGTGGTTCTCTGTACCTTCGCTGAAGCAAATAATCTTTGGATAGAATTTTTCTTTTCCAAACCTGCAACCGTGAGACGGTAAGTTTCCGAATGCGAGAGCAAGGGAGGCAGCGAGCGACCACGCGTTTTTGTCCGTTTGAAATACCTCGCTCCACTGCAGCGACTCTGGTGGCCAAAAGTTTCACGAAAATTGTCTCCTCCCAGTATTTCCGGTATCAGCTGGTACATACGATCGTACTTCAGCGCCACTATAGGACGGCGTCGGTACTAGAAGAAGTATACGGTCATATCTCTCTCCATCGAACGTCCCTCTAGTTACGACCCATTTCTAGGGTTCTACTTGGTTCTACTGACTGGCTGGCTCGCAGCGAAAAGAGGAGTTCGTATGCTTTTAAAATTCACTTCTGCAAGGTGGACGCCGTTAACTCTGTCATCTCCTCTATGACGGACTTTACGAGCCGGATAGAGAGAGGAGTGTGATCGTTGCTGATGGTTACGAAACGTTCTCGAGTGTGTCGAATGCTTTCTTTCGATAGGTTAGGTGAAGGAACTCGAACGGCACTTCCTACATACGTATGATGCGTCTAATTTTCAGCGCGTTCCGAGTTAAACGTAGGCTGCAATTCTAACGTCTGCTTCAGTGAATTCAATGATATGGATTTCGGGACGTTATTAGACGTCGCGCAAAAAAATGGAGGTGTCAAACAGGTGAGACCGTATGTGGTGTTCCATTTCGAATTTTCCTTCCTAATTTTGAAATAGTAAAACTGATATTCTTTTCGATCCGGAGTAAAATAAATTCAGAGAGTATCGTTTCCATCCAATATGTTTCTGTATTTTATAATCGAGTCAATCGTATATATGACAATATTCGGAGATATTTGATGTCATGTTTACATTGCCGATCTTGAACAACTATTCAAGGAGAAACAACAAAATTCTACTAACGATAACGATGGCAAAAATTTAACCATTCGAACATACATACGTTAATGGACACAAATGCATTTCCTTCTTAGACCAGTGGCATCGTATTCCCATGAAAGGTATTTGTCCCCGTCGATATACGCTGGGATCGTTTTACCAAATGAGAGAACACTTCCTGAAATGTTGGAGAAGTTTAATTTTTAGCATGCCAATGCAAGCAGCATGGAACACCACATCCAGTACCCTTTAAGATGTTCAGCGTTTATAACTTGTACAAGATTTATCTGGTCTTTGTTAGAATACAAAACGTTTAAGCATACTTTTGTAACAAAAAACTGCATTTCAGCCCGTCGCTTACTATCGGACAAAGTTTACTCCACCGAAAAAGGAAACGAAGCAAACCAAAAACTTGTCGGATAACATTAAAAAATTCCTTGCTCGAAGGGAAGAAGAAGAACGGCAAAAAGCATTAGACGAGAAAAAAAAGAAAGAGGTAAACTATTATTATTAATAAAAATGTCCTATATGTGCAATTAATAATTGGGTAATCATTGACCTATTTTAGAACTTGCTGGCATTACGAGATCAAAAGACTCAAAATCGTATAAATAAACATCTAAAAGTATGCAAAGCTGCCAACAAATCGGTACTGGCAGATGCAGTCGATAACGAGAATACGGCTGTAACAATGGCTGGTACGTGTACATCAATTCGGTCGTGCATTTCGCCTTTCGTTTTTCCTTCCGTACCTTCGGCTGCACATACATATCCTATTACTATATACCTCAAACTGTTTCAGGTCCGTCACAGCCCGACGAAGACGACTACGGATACGTGTCCCAGGAAGCCTCGGCGTTTTATAATCAACTGATGAACAAATACAATAATCTACCTCCGGAGAAACCGATATTCAGCGACACCGGGAAAAGAACCGTGAAGGACATCGCGTCGACAAAGGTACGACATATTTAACTCTTCCCCGTAATTCCCCCAACTTGCGTAGAAAACACTAAACGAGCAATTTCACCCTCTAGGATAGAGTGAAACGAGCTTTACAGCAGAAAGAATCGGAAGACACTGCGGGCCATAGACGGAAACGAAAATCATCCAGTGCCGCGTTCACCAAGGAGGTAGAACGCGCGGAATCTGGCAAAAGAGAGCCCGACTCGGAGTCGGCGAAGGCGGACAAACCGAATGCCGAGAAAGGGCGGGACCGAGGAGAGACGGAAGAAGAGAAGCCCAAGCCAAGGAAACGAGCACCCCTCCCACCTCCCATGGACTTTGTCGAGCTACTCAAATTGGCGGAGAAGAAGCAGCACGAGCCCATCGTACTGGAAGCCAAGCCGAAGCCAAAACCGAAGGTGGAGGCTCCGGAAAGGCTCATGACCAAAAAGCAGAAACGAGAGTACCAGAGGGAGAAGGAATCGAGGGAACGAAAGCGGGAGGAGCGAGGCGCCGGCCCCGAAGCGAGCCGACCACCTCCCAAGCCCAATGACGGCTCCGGGTTGAGCTCGACGGCGCAAGGGAAGCGAGTCGTCGGCAAGTCCCTCGGTCCCAGCGAAAAGCCGCCGGCCAACGGCCGGCCCCGGCCCCGGCCCGCCAAGACCTCGGAGAAAGATCTCCTGATGGAGGAGCGTCGGAAGCTGGAATCGGAGAAGCGAAAGCTCGAGGAGATGCGTCGTCGCATCGAGGAGGAAAAGCGGAAGCTGGAGCTGAGCAAGTGCCCGAAGCCCGGGCCCGAGAAACCGCGGCCCGCGCCGCCAGTCGCCAAACCGCCCGTCGCCGGCGACAAGGCGCGAAGGGAGACGGATCCGGTCAAGGCCAGGTCCACGTCCACGTCCACGTCCACGTCCTCGGCGCCCCGGCCCGACCTCAAGCCGAGGGAACCTCCAGCTAATTCGAGACCGGCCCTGTCGAAGCAGCATGCCTCCCTTCCGTCGAAACGGCCCGGTAAACGTGAGTGCGATCGCCATTCTTCCGTTCTCGTAGCAGCCGCTCGCGTTCACCCCTTCGCTTTGCCTTTCCAGGTCGGATCGAAGACGACGAGGACGAATACGATTCCGAGTTGGACGACTTTATAGACGACGGTCCGGAAGAGGCGGCGGAAGACTACAGCAAGTACATCAGCGAAATATTTGGTTACGACAAGAACAAGTACAGGAACAGCGACGACTACAACGACGATGCCGCCATGGAAAGTAATTTCGCCCAACAGCTCAAAGAGGAATACGTCTCTACCAAAATAGGTAAGTCCTTCCGTCTTGAGATCCCCTTGCTCGCTTACCTTTTGAGCGATGACCGTTGCGCCTTCGGAACTCCGTAGATGTCCCGATGGCGTTCCAAATGGTCGGCGATAACCGAATCTTAATTTCAGGAATAATGGAAGACTTGGAAGACATTCGCATGGAGGCTATGGAAAAGAAACGGAAGTCAATTTTGAAGAAGAAGTTGAAAAAATCTTAGATCCCTTCGTATCGGTGTTCGGGAGAGACTCTTACCACAAAATCAATTCTTAGGGATCGGAAGAGCGTCGGAGTTTGATCTCTCGTGCTGTTGCAGCTGGGCGAAGTCGGACAGAAAATCGAATTATCCTTCGACCCTTCTAGTTTCCAATGCAACGGGGCGTCTTTTGGAAAGCGAGATTCTGCCCGCTGTTTATTCACGGTCTCCCTGGTCGAAGCGTCCTGCGGCTTACGGACGTAAACGAAAAAAGTTCGTTGCTCGTTGACTCTTCAATGACGCGCGTAAAAAGCATTTCATAAAATAAAAGAAGTACAAGACTCGGAGGTACGCTCGCTAGCTTCCCACGTCATCGGCTTCGAATCGGTATCCCCGACGCTTCTTCGTCCATAGCCCGTTTTAGCTCGGTTTCGGCCAGTTAACACTCGGATTCGATCGCACACCGTGGGATACAAAAATTCGGATTTTATACATCTACGCTAAGTTAAGACTCTGGGATTTTTAATGCAATATTTTGTGAATAAATATTATTTAAGAATGAAGACGCGTCGGATCGATTGCCAGAATGTATTCTCGTGCGTCTCGGTGAAGCGAAGAAGGCCGGGTCAGAGCGACGGGACAAACCAAGTCCAAAGCGATCAAGCGGCGTAGTGGAAGAGGACGGCCGACGGCGTCCGCAGAGGGACGAGGCGCGTGGACCCGTCCTTCTCCGCGACCGCGTAGTACTCCCGGCCGTTGACCAGATGCGTCTTGCCGAAGTGCCGCTCGCGAATCGCCCGATAGAGGGGGCCAGGGGGCGGCGGCGGCAGAGACGCGCGGCCGGAATCCCGGCGGGTGCACGCTCGGACGAGTAGTTCGACCCCGAAGAGCAGCGTCGCCACCGCGAACCCGACGACGACGACCTTGTAGGTCATGAAGAGATCCGAGTTGCGAAGTTGCCTCTCCTTCGAGCCGAGGTTCAACGGGCAGATCTCGACGGACGGGTTCTCGAGGATCTCCAGGTGCTTCAGTATACCCGCCTGGACGATCCTCTCCATCCTGAAAGCACCGGGAAAGCGAGTCGGTCGCGCGACCCAAGGGCCCGAATCGCGCGTACTTACCGCTCGTTGATGAGCTCGTCGATGTCGGAGTCCCACGGGAAAACGAAGGCGCGCCTCTCGACGCGGATGCTCCTGGGCATGGTGGCGAAGCTGCAACGCTTCGCCTCCTCCAGGCCGCTCCTCGTCTTGCGCTTGTAATCCTCGAATATCAGACGTCTGGTCAGGTGCTTGCCTCCCAGCAGGACTCGCTCTGTCGAGTCGGCGCGCGTCAGGGGGGCGTCTCGGGCCAGGGCGGAGGGGGCGCTCTACTTACGCTTGTCGATCCTCTTCAGGATGTCCTCGGTCGACTCGGCGCTGAGGTCGATCAGGCCGGACCTCCAGGGGAACTTGCTCCTCCCGAGCACCTCCAGCTCCTTGTCGGGCAGCTTCTGAAAGGACGACTCGTCGTTCGCGCTCGCTCGGCCGGATCGGCCGGATCGGCCGGGTCGGCCGGGGCAAGCGCGAGCGACGACCGACTCACCTCTTGGAGGACGACGTCGATCGATCGACCCTTCGGCATGGACCATTGCAGGTTCTTGTTGACCAGGTCCCCGAGCGAGTCGATGGGCAGCTTGAACTCCGAGAGGGTGAGGAACGCCGTCAAGTTGGCCGTGTAGAAGGAGGTCAGGATCGTGACGAAGATCCACCAGGCGGCGAAGAGCAGCCTGGCGGAATCTGAAAGGCGGGCGACCGGGTCAGTCGGTCGCAATCCCCCCCCGCGGCAGGGCATCCTACCCTCGATCCTACCCTCGATCCTACCTGATACCGGAGAGACGGTGGAGCCTTGCTTCAGGAGAGCCCCGTACACGAACCACATGCACGTCGCCAGGGAGTATCGCTCCGGCTTCTCGGCCTTGGCCAGCTTCGCCCTGCGCGATCGTTGCCGAGAGGATCAGAGGATCGGAGGATCGACCGCGAAATCGAGCGCGAAAACGGGACCGAACCTGAGGGAGACCAGGAGGTAAACGACCGGGCCGACGACGAGGACGGACACGAGGACCAGACTCCAGACGACGGTGTCGAAGGGCGCCAACAGCCCCGAGCCGCTGGCCGACTCCGAGGGCCGACCCATCAGGACGGTCCACTCCACCTCGTCCAGCGTGGTGCCGTACTTGAAGTACCTCCAGTACTCGGGGATGACGGGAACGAACGCGACCACCATGTCCACCTCCTTCGGGAACGCGGAGGAGCGTAGGAGCGTACGAGCGCCCGAGCCGGGCCCGCGCCGACATCACTTACCTTTCGCTCGACCAGACTCGTGATGCCGTTCTTCTCGTTGCCCAGTCCGTCCTCCTCCGGCAGCACGATCGTGTAGTCGAAGGGCACCTTCGACCTGACCATCTCCAGCAACTCAAAGGCGTAGCCCACCCCTACGAGCGTTCCGTTCCTCTTGACCACGCCGGAGAAGGGCATGTCCTGGGGACAGGTCGAGAAAGGTTGCACTCGTCGTCTGGGGTCGTCGAGCGACCACACGTACGTGCCACGTCGTGACGCGAATCGAGGGGCGCGTCGTCGTCGCCGTCGCCGCTCCGGACCGCTCGTCCGCGAGCACGCGCTGGACCTGCCCCGGGAAGGTGGCCGTCACGGCCGCGACCGCGATCAGCAGCCCCGACAAGTCCATCCCGTCCAAGACCCCCGAAGGTTGCCTATCCTCTGCGGCCGAGCCGCGCTCGACCTTCGGGGCAGGAGGATTCGTCACCTGCCAGGGGCAGGGGCAGGGGCAGGGGCAGGGGTAGGGGTAGGGGCAGGGGCAGGGGCCGCCGGTCGATACTCGTTATCGCCCGGAACGAGGGATCCATCGCTCCCGCCCCCGGGGTCGACATCGACTCCTAAGGATCGGGCCGGTCTCCTAGCGGAATCGTCCAGGGGGAAGGGAATCCTCCGAGAAACGCCCCGCGATTCCTCTTACTCTCTCATCGTTTATTCGACGTTGCATCGGTTACTTGGAGTCGTTCCGTAGTCGTGGACGCCCGAGTCGGTCACGGAACCCGGCTCGGCCTTAGCGGGCGCAGTAGCTGGCCAATTGGCTGATGGAGCAGGGCTTCAGGCAGCACTCGTCGTGCACTCCGCGAGCCGCCCTGCGGAAGCGGTCCCGGTCCCGGTCGCCGAGCCAGCGGCCGCGGCCGCCCGCGCGCGGCGACGCCATCGCCATCGCCATCGCCAGGGCCACCGTCCGCGAGAGGAACGGCTCGGCGGGCTCCACCTCGTTCGGGCCGACGTCGTCCTCGTACTCGGCCGCCTCGGTATCCGTCTCCGTCCCCGACTCTGTAAGAACCGGAGGAATCGTTGCGCCTCGCCGGAGAGGGGGGAGAGCCGGTACCGACCTCGGATGCTCTTCTTGAACATGGAGTTGTAATTGCCCTTGCAGACGAGCTGCAGGGCGGTCGACAGGTGCCTGCCGCAGTACTTGCTGACGGCGCCGCTCCTCGCGTACCTCGGCTCCCACGGGGCGTCCAGCTGGCCGCTCGCTCGACCCAGGCCGAGCAGGGCCACCAGGCCCACCAAGCCCATGGCCAGGATCACCGTCGGCGGGTGATCGACCATCTGCAACCGCGCCCTCGCCTCAGTCCTCGCGTTCCTCGGCTCCCCGAGCCGAGCGATACTCACCGTTGCGGAGGAAGAGCGTCGTCGTCGTCGTCTTCAGGAAATGACCGTCGCGAGACTTCTAGCGGGGCCATTTGCCGATCGTCTCCTTAAATACCCGGGGCGAGCAGCCCCTTGGGAGTAACGTCGACCGACTCGGACGTGCTCAGTAAACATGCCAGGCGGGCTCAGAGTCGACGACTCCGTTAATGACTGGGAGGCTAATGCCGCCCAGTCGACCGTGAGCTTCGTCGACGAGGACGCCGCGTCTCGCCTTCTTTTCCAAGGTCTCGTCTTCTCGCCCGGTTTCGTCCGATTACTTTCCATGCGGAGCGCCAGGGAATCGATGGAAAGACGCGTCGTCCTCTCGACGCTCTGGAAACGAGTTACAACAAACTCTCGCCAACTTTCGAGAGGAACGTTCCGTCGCTCGCCCGGATCCGGTTGTGGTCTCCTGTACGTTCTTTCGCGTCGTTGAAACCCGTCGAACCGAGTGGTTTGTGATTTTCCGGCGACGTTTGTCTTCTTAACCGATAGAGGGATAAAAACTGATGACGCTTTTTCCGAGTCAAGCCGAAGAGCCAAGTGTATTTAACGTTTAAGCGATAAATTCATAAGGTATAGGCGCCAAAAGGATCGGTTCCTCTCGTCCGGATACAATGTGAGCGGAGGATGGTTGTTCGGGTTGTCTCTTAAGCTGAACGCGAACGTTCTTTTCCTTAGCTTCCTTTCTTAGCCTCTCATTTTCCTTGACTCGTTTAAGGAAATCTTCTCGACATTTGGAGTGAGTCAAATGTTCGATTCTGACGTTGATGCGCTTGGCAACGATGCGTCCACGTACTCTTTTGTTAACGATTACTCCGAGAGCGTGAGGAGTTACATTGAAGACGCGTCCAGTCTTTCCATGGTAGACTTTGTAAGGCATCCCCTTCTGTACCGCTCCGTTGCCCTTTATATCTACTACGTCCCCAACTTTGTATACTTTCATATATGTCGACAAAGGAATAGTTCCATGTTTCCGGAATTTACGGGAGAACAAGTCTCTTGTCCCACGCCGGTAACCCTTTGAGTTGGTCATTATAAACTGATGATCTGCAATTCACACGATCGGTTTTAGCATCGACCTTTCGTAACTGCAGAAATAAATGATTAAAAATCGACGAAGATGCAAAATAAACGGAACCATTCAAGGTAATGCTTCACCTTTTTAAGTTTCACTAAGAACGCTAAATATATCTCTAAAACTCTGATGCAAAGCGTGGACAGAAGACCATTGACCACTTAACCTAAATTAACCAAACCTAGCCTGTAAACCGTATTTGTCTTGTTACACTATTGTAATTTAAATATTGACACATTTAAACGGAATATTTGAAATAAAACCTCTACTTTGTAATTATTTTGAGCAAAAATGATGAACTTACGGTTTAATTAATTTGCTTAATACACGTGCCGTCGAGTCGAACAAAGCAGGCGATACTGCTCAGAGAATGCGTGAATATAACCTTTCCTTTATATCAAAGAATGTAAATAATAATAATAACGATTCAAATATTCTACAACGTTAATCAAAATACGAGAAATGTATGGAAATGTTACGAAAAGTACTTTACAAGGATCAAAGACACTTACGTTTGCAATCGCGAACGAGGCAAGAAGGTTAAGAAAACCGAGAGCGTTTGTATGAAACGTTAATGGCGCAGCTCCAACTCTCGTCGCGCGATGATTGGTCAATGCATCCACGGTATTGACAAAACGACCAATCAAGGGGATTGTCGTTTTCCAACATCTTTGGAATTGAAACGCGTCGTTGACGGTTACACCAAAATTTGTCCCGGTTCCGCACTCAAGTTAACTGAAATTTAATAGATTTACACAGGCTGAGTCGCACGAGCGCGTTCTGGGCTGCCCTCGGTGGAGGATGCGGGCGGCTCGCGCATTTGCCACCTGATAACCCCCCGAACCCCATTGGCGGCCCAACTCAAAAACGAGTCCTTTACTTGATAACGACTGCATTTGACATAAACGTTTATTATTCATTTTATTCGTTCACAATTGTCACTATTCTATTGGTAAAAAGTGAATATGAAGCACTCAACAATGAAGTAACATTACGGTAACAAAATCCCATTTAATGATCACGATGAACGTGATACTTATTACAAGTAATGTTTACCATCGCTTAAGTTAGCACAGTGGTAGTGTCTGACTGAATGTATATTACTAACGATGTTCTTTGAATAAGATTTCATTAGGGTTACTCCTTTGTAATTTTCCTTCGTCGTGGACCATCTCCACTAGCTAAAGGTTTATCCTGAAAAGTAATAGTACATTCAAGAAAAGGTCCCAACTGCCAGCAGCAAAGTAGTGTTCCACGAAACATTAGAGACCAGTTAGGAAGTAAAGGAGTTCCGTGCCGAATTGGTACCGTCCTAAATAATGTGTTTGGTCACTAAGTTATCTGCCGGTTCAATGCTGCGGGCGATTATTGAATTATGTAAAGACAGACTAGCGAAAGTAATTGTACCCACCCTGTCGCTGTCTTTTCGTTCAGACTGTTCTTCGGTTTCATCAGGTTCGGCGACTCCTGAATCGGAAATGCCTTCTTTGGGGTCTGGATCTTTAGTTTCGTCTTTGTCCATCTCGTCCCCACCCTCGTCATTTAGGCGCAGTGGTTCCTCGTCTTCTGACTTAGTATCGTGCTTATCCTGCCGACCATAGAGGGGATTATATTCTTATAAGAGTAAGTTAGGTGAAAATGTCGGAGTGATAATATCGACGGACCCGTTGCAGGAACACGATATTTTAATAAGAATTTTCAGAGAAAGTCTCGTTTTATCTCTAACGACGTAACCGAAGACCGAATCGATAATTCATATAAAGTTGACCAATAAAGAGGTCGTGTCCCACAAAGGGTCCAGGCAAATTATACAAGACTAACTTTTAAACCTTTACTCCAAGTAAAATATACCATTTTGATACATCTACTAAGGGAGAAGCGACATCTCGTACGATAAGAGGAAACGCGATAAAAAACATTGTGTACCGTGATGACTACTCGTATACAGCGTACTTGCAGGGGAATTTACTAGTTTTATAGGATATATGGTATACCTGGGTGGAAAAGCAGCAACAGTGTATTAGGAGAAGTACGGGTAACCCAGCTACTAATATGTGCACAGCCCACATCCAAGGATGTTCAGCGGTAAATGTGACGAGCTCGCGCCACAGGCTCCACTACATCAAATCAAATCAAATCAAATCAAATGAAATCAAACAGAACCAAATCGAGACGGTAACGACGGCGGCACTAGTCGCCTGTCCGTTGAAAGTTTCTCTACCGAATAGCAGCTAGTCGACACATTCGGTTAGGAGCGACTACTTCTGGCATAACCGAGGTCGCGAATCGGTGTCGCACCGACGACGATCGCAACCGCGAATATCTCTACCTCGCGAGACCGCTTCAACAGGTACCAAACATAGGCGATAACGGGAGTTATACAGTAGAGAAAGTACAGACTCCACCAGCCTGGTTTATGATTCATGGAACGCATCGCGCGACCCCAGAATGTCTCCTGTGTGCGTTGTAGCGAAGAAGAGCGATTAGTTTAGTTACTTTTGAGATCGTTGACGGCGGCTTAAAACCGCGTTCCGTATAAAAGAAGCGAAGAGGTAGTCGCACCGTTAACGCGTTGACCGCCACGGTGGTCACCGGTGAACGTGTTTAACTTCGTTTCGTTTACCGACGACGTCGTTTCTCTGTCTCTGGAAACTTGTCGAGCACCGTCAAACAATTAAGGCGTACTTACATTTTCCGCAGCGATCTTGGTTCGACGAACCTCGAAAGTATCCTCTGCCCATTTTTCCGCAACTTCTTCGTTGTCCGTAACAAGTATATTGTCAAAGAGTATGTCGGGGGACATAGACCACAGCTCGAACCCAACTGCGAACTGAAAAAGAAGACCGGCTCTTCGATACTCGAAAGACAGGCGCGACCCAGAGGTTAGACCCCGGATTAGAACCCGGGTTCGCGGCGGACAGGACGAGCGTGACCTACGATCGGAGTCATTCCGAAGGGGTGCTCGTCGTTGAAGTACTCGGGATTGTGAACGAGCCTGGGCTTCCATTTTCCCTTGTAGTTGGGGTTGTTGACGAGGGGCGGCAACCATTTCCCTTTGTACCGCGGGTTCGTCTTGAGCCGTTGCTTGTAGGGTCCGCAGCCGGAGATCTGAGCGCACTTGGGGTTCGGTATCTTGGGCGGTTCCCACTCGCCGTCCATCTCGACGTCCCAGTCCTCGGGTCGGGTGGACTCTGGGTTGGGAATCGCCGGCGACTCGTCCTCCGCCCAGTCCTCCGGCATCGCGTCTTCCTCGTCGACGATCTGCGCGGGAGCGTCCTCGTCCCAGTCTTCCGGTTTCTTGGCCAACGGATCTGGAATTTTCTCGCGATCGTCCCAATCCGAGGGCTGCGTGTCCGTAGGATCCTCGACCTCCAAGGGCGGGTTCACCGGCGGTACGAAGTCATCCAGCAGGGAACCCGAATTCACTACTTTATTGTCGACTTTTATGTCAAAGGTATTATCCGGTCGAACGGTCAGAGTGTACAAGTGCGGTAACTTGTCGGTGAAGATATCGTCCAGGCGATCCTTCGATTTCTTGCAGTGCTTCTCCTCGTATGAACCGTTTAGTGGATTCTTATGGCGGAATATAAAGTGTAACTGAAATGAACAAAACTGTCTATTAGCATCGATCGGTTATTTGTGTTATTCATTAAACATGCCATATGTTTTATGCATCGATAGACTCTCCTGTTTACCTTGACGTCGTTTCCACATTTATCTGGTCCAAACATTATGGAATATGGCGTTTTGTCGTGAAATTCCTTTAAATTCCTCTGCTCTGAATCCAGTGCAAGCAGTTTAAGGTAAGCACCGCCACATTCCTGACCTTCCTGAAAGTTTACTTCGTATTGCACCACCAGTGGTTTATCTTCGAATCGAAAAGGTCTACTTAAAGGAGCAGATATGGCTGCGTGCCGAGCTTTGCTCTTCAACACCAACCCAAGGTCTCCTTCTTCCATATTCCTCTTTGGTTCCTCTACCATCCATTTTCCTACAACCAATGTTTATTTCTCTTATTCTAGAAGTGTCAGAATTGATGTTAAATCAACTTTGTTATGCATTTAGAAGTCTAGGAATAGGAGGATCGAGAAAACATCTTTGAAGGAATATAAAGATGAAACTGCCGAATAAATGTGAAAACCAACCATCGTATTTAGCGATTTCTTCATCGATATTATTCTTTTTTGTTTCAGAAATAATCCACTTTTGTTTGAACCTTTCCAAGTCATTAAAATTTTCTAATAGGTATATCGAGTCCGCAAATTTCTCCTGTTTATAAATCGGTTCAGAAACTGTGTCCGAGATACCAATCCCGTGTACGTCATCGTGGGCATTTGCTCCTCCACATACAGTGCCAGTCAAGAATAATGTCGCGTACGTGACGAGTCGTATCATATCTTCTCTCTACAACACATATTAACTATTAGGTTTTAAAATCATATAATTGCAAGGAACATTACTGTAATCAATAATATTTACTTTTTGGTCTAACTCATCTAAGCAATTCACATGGTAAAGATTATTTCATAAGGCAACAATTAGTTACAGCGGATTTAGAATCCTAAAATCTCAAATGATAAGGATAAGAGTATCGGACGCATGAAACCAATGCCCAGAAAAATAAGTTAAAAATTAAATGTTAAGTTATAGTTAACGGTAAGCTGACACTTACAAAACAGCCAAGCTCCAGGGGACTGTAGAATTTGACCGATATTTGCTACGGTAGGGTTATACCCAAAGTCCAATTGTTTTTGGTCTGAAATGTATCGTAGTAGATCCCAATTCTTTATTCTGATCCTGGTTAACCCTTAGTAAATCGTTGAATCCGAACGACATGCGAAAAGCGCGAATGAGCAAGTTTGAGGTTTTCAATTAAATTAGATAAATTCACCGATACTCGAGGAAACGATAATTGTTGGAACTTTCTGTCGAACTTACGACAACCAACCTTAACACATTAACGTGGAATAAGCATATTTCGTAAGCCAATTAGAATATAACAATACACGGCACTATTGAATTAACCAATAAATCTAATTGAATCTGTTCCAGGACATAAGAAGAACAGGTGGTTCGGCTGGGCTCGGTTGAACTCGGTTGCCCGGTGTTATCTAGGTGTCCGGTGTTATGATGTTGCCAAGGTCGCCATATTGAAGCACATTGGACACCGTCGATTGGTCGTCCAAAGGGTCGTACCGACCAATCGGATGACTCAAGCCTCCGATAATCCAGCACAGCCATCGCCATAGGTTTGTCGGGTTATCTGCATTTTTGCACTCGCACCAACTGATTGAAGCTTTAGGTGGATCACCTGGAAGCGGCTGATTTGGCAGAGATGAGTTGGGAGATTGCCATAATGGTAAGCCACCACCGTCAACTGCCGCATGGTATTACCATCGCGAATACGTGAGCCGCCAACGGCAACTGGTAGATGGCAGAGCGAGTCCCTACCAGAAATTCGTTGCGCCGCCCTTGGGGGCAAAAAACGGTGAGAGCTAACGTACGAAACCAGAGGGCAGCACACGATGCGATCGCGCGACCCTGTCCGTGAGCAATCTCCCAACTCATCTCTGGTCTCATTGCTGTTTCACGCAGAGGCTCAGGCAGCGGGCTGCGCAGGCGTCGAGAGGACTGGAGAGGACTGGAGAGGACAAATCTCGGTACGCCTGCGTGCTCTTCGGACTTGGAGGGGCGTAGAAAGGAGGCCATATTGTACAGTTAAATTGAAAGGAAGAAAATAATTTGTCCCATCCACCTACGCGGGCCGTCGCTCTATTCCGGCAGTTTTCCGAGGCATCGCCAAGTGCATCGGAACCCCGAGGATCGTACGCTGCTGAGGATCGATCGGGCGTCGACTGTGGTCTCCTACGGCTTGTAAATAAATACAAGCCCGTGCACTCCCTCCGGGTCAGGGCCACCCTCTATCCCATCGACAGAGGAGTTCTTGCTGCCGTCGAAGATGGGCACTCGGGACGACGAGTACGACTATTTGTTTAAAGGTATCTAGCCCAGCATATTCCCTAATAGGACTTCCTAGTACTCGGCCAATGAATTGCCCTTTATCCCGAGGATCGGCAAGAAGGCCGTTATACGCTATTTCGAGCGGCATGTCTGGTGACGTTGGACTCTAACGTCACAATATGCACGATGAGTCCGATATTCGTTACTGGGACGTTGGATTCTCTGCCATGGACAATGTCTCTTTTGCTCGCAAGACAATTGTTCCTTATCGGTTCTTCTGTCATTCCTTTGGTTGCTTGTGCCAAGTCTTTGGATGTGTTTTACGAGCCTGGTATCTTGATACATTTTGTACCATGGATAAATATTTTGTCTTGGATCCTTCCTTCAAGATCGTATCTTCCTTCTATGTTGCTCGATATACCGATAAAAATATTGAGTTGTTTAAGGAACATGGATTTATGATACCAGACCGTAGGCATTAGGTTTTTCCTTTTTACTTTTTCGTATGTATATATTTTAGATCCTACAAATGGCTAAAATTTATTGAGCAATTATGTGTTTAATACGCTCATGGTTACTAGCGAAGTTCTCTAATAAAATTATATAAAAAGTAGTATCTTCAATATCGTGATAAAATGATATTTCTTTTTGGCAATGCGGCTATTGCTTTAATAGTATGACGTTTGCGATTGATGTTTCATTGGTGTGTCTCTGTGTATCTCTCAATTGATCGATTTAAATACTTAACGTTCCTTTCACTAAAGCTGTGATGCCAAGCAGCCGATACATATTGAATTCATTTTTTATAACAATTATTATTATTAACGGATTGGGTATTCAAACTGTCATATCTAGAACTATTTTTAAATAAATACTTGATAACATCTTGCTCTCCAATGCTTTACAAGTTAGATAATTACATACATACATCGTAATCCTTAATATTTTAAAGTGAATTATCAGCCTGAAATTTCTTTATTATCTTGAATGGATATATAAATCTAGAAAAAGTTTGTAGACAATTTCATTATCTCCACGAATTTACGAGATTTAAATGTTTGCAGTGGTTCTCATTGGAGACTCTGGAGTAGGAAAGAGTAACCTGTTGTCCCGATTCACACGGAATGAATTCAACTTAGAGTCAAAATCCACCATAGGTGTAGAGTTTGCAACACGCAGTATACAAGTAGATGGAAAGACCATCAAGGCCCAAATATGGGATACTGCTGGACAAGAGCGCTATCGTGCAATCACTTCAGCGTGAGTATTCAAGAAATGATTAATACGTAATTCAAATTATTTTGTAGAAACAATTTGGAAAATACCTTTTGCATTCTGGGCACTAAATTCTACAAGACCAAAGGTCATTACTTTCCATTGTAAAATATGGAAATTGATTCTGATTATTTGATTGTGGGTGTAAATGGAGAATTTTCTCATTAGAAATGACTCATTGTGAGTCAGAAAATGACATGAGCACGCCGGTCTTCTTTCTTTATAGTTCAGTTGATGTTAAACGTGTGTTAAGGCAAAACTCTTATGAATTGCAAGAGTTCAGTTTTCTTCATATTAAGAAAATTGAACTTCAAAACAATGATATAATATTATTATTGTTAGTAATTATCAAATTAACGATAATTTTGATTCTTAAGGTTCTTGTATATCATTTTAAAGGTCGACCTTTGTGCATGCTTTGGTATATATGTAAATGCTGAACTTGGTTATGTTAATAACATGGATATCTCATCCATGGCAGTGTCAGGCCTCATGACGGATATTTGTATACTGCATTAATGTTTGTTATACTTCTTAGATTAATAAAATAAAACGATAATTGTGATAATCAGTTAATTCTTGTAGATATTATCGAGGTGCCGTTGGCGCTTTATTGGTATATGATATAGCAAAGCACTTGACATATGAGAACGTAGAAAGATGGCTGCGGGAATTACGAGACCACGCCGATCAGAACATAGTAATCATGCTTGTGGGTAATAAGTCGGACTTGAGGCATCTGCGAGCTGTACCAACGGACGAGGCCAAAGTCTTTGCCGAAAAGAACGGTCTTTCGTTTATTGAAACGTCTGCTCTGGATTCGACCAATGTGGAGACAGCTTTTCAGAATATATTAACGGGTAGGGTACATTTACGGTTCTATGATTAAAGTCATGATTTACAGGCAGAAACCTAACAACTGTGTGAGTGACTCTCCTTTCCATTGATTTTCAGAAATCTACAGAATCGTTTCACAGAAACAAATACGAGATCCACCCGAAGGAGACACAATTCGACCTCAGAACGTAGAACCTATCGACGTCAAACCGACAATGAGCTCCGAAGGAATTCGTAAGCAATGCTGCCAGTGACTCGTCTCGCTGCTTCAAATGTGAGTATGCTTGCTGTTCACAAATTCAGCTGTCAATGGTTTCTGTTTAGTCTATGTTACTTTAAGAATTCGAGCTTAAGAAGAAAATTTCTGTAATGTTACATCTTTTTATCGTGACAATTATGTGGACCTTTGGGTCTTGATTTTAGAAGCGGTAATACAGAGGGAAGGAGGAAAGAAGCGATGACTGGCGGTACATATAGCAGGTGCACATTAGCACGAGAGACAAGACTATGTGTATGGGCCAGTAAACTCGTATGCTAGAAGAGTCGTTAGCCTGACCAAAGGCTCAGGGGGAACGTCGCAGACTATCCATTTAACACGTACCACATGCAAAAGTGCGCACTTAACGCATTCGTGCAACAAAAATCCGAAACGAGAGGGGAAACAGATCTAGTGAGTCAAAAATTGTGAAAGAACAAGGGAAAGAGGCGTAGATCGCGCTTCAAAATGTGCATATTGCGGTATACGGTAAGAAAAACGATACACGCTGTGGTCCACGCACCATTCTGCCCTCTATTTAAATTTGTCTTATTTACCATATATATAAAGTCGATATATATATATAATTATGTTACGATAAATGAATGTTGTATTATCGCTTCCTTGTAATATACACACACACACAATTCTTCTCTACGCATAGTGTGGCCGTGAGTATATAAGCAAATTTATCAAACGATAACACGTCTCTCTTACACGGTACGAGAAAAGACTACGCGAGCTTACATTGTAATGTACGTTGAGGGGAAATGTGACAGGGCAGCGTTGGGAAATGGTGGAGAGAAAAACTTGAAGAGAGCCTGCATAAGATGAAAGACGAAAAACGCCATTGCTCACCATGAACTATCTCGCGACATTCACACACGTAGTTTTGACAACCACTCCGTAACTACGCGCTAGGCACTAAGTCCACACACGCTTTTTCAATTGCATTAATTTTTACTGAAAGAAAAAGAGTGAGAGAGAAAGCGAGAGCGAAAGCGAAAGATTCAGAAAAAGGGATAGAGCATGTGAGCTAGCTCTCTCTGTGTGTGTATGTATGTGTGTGGTCGCGTGCGCCTACTGGTATACGAGAGAAGGAGTGAGAGTGAGAAAGAAAGGCTCGTTAAGCGCAGCAGTGTAAGGATCACAACCATAGTAACATTTATAAGGTGTAATAAGAGCCGCCCGGGAAAGTGTTATTTTGAGTACCTTTTCAAGTTGTGAATTACGTTATCGAAGGCGGGTGTTGACACCGTTGAATGTTTCACGAGCTCGTTGAAAGCCACGACCCTCTGTCGTATCGTTAATTAAGCTAAGAGCGAAGCAAAGCATTGTAAATTCAGATCTGTCTACGCTTTTTGCGCACTACACACGAGAGATTAATGAAAATACAAGTATCTATCTTATGGATATGCTTTAGAAGAATCACTGGGATGAAACATTAAACACGTCGTTAGAAAAATATTTTCAGTTATGTGTGTTGATCCGTGACCTAAATGCCTTTCGAGTCTTTTGCTTTAAAAAATTTAAAGTGCGGGTTATGCATAATTTATTAATGTTTGGGTACGTCCAAATATAGTAAAAGTGGGTTTCTATTTTCTGCAGAAATGTTCATTAATAAATCAGGGGAGCGTAAAAATATGTAATTTATAGGAAACAGATTTTAATGCACCTTTTATTTTTATGATTGTTGTGGCATCAGTCAAGGTATTTTAAGAATTATCTTTACACGCTGTTATGAAGACTAATTCTTTCGTGTTGGAAAAGAAACGTGTGCAAGTAAACTTGTACCCACATATACATACATACAGTACATTTATGCGAATGGAAAATCAATTAATAAGGGAGTGAAAGTATGTCACTGGTTTTGTTATTATTACTGCTTATACGAATGAGGAATCATCTTTGGAATGATTATTGAAATCAAGACTGCATTATAATGCATTTACATGTTTCGTTTAACATATTCAACTGCTGTCCATCGTAATAGGTCAATTTGTCATTTTTAGTGACTTTTCTTTTTTAAATATGATCAATGTATATACTATAGTGTAATTCTTTAATATCACGTTCGGTAAGCCACTTATTCACGCGTGTCAGAGTGGAAATCTAGGTTACATTTGATCTCACCTCTGTACTTTTTTTCTCCAAAACTTCTCCGAAATTTGTTTCTATGCACAATATTTAAATAGATATTCAACGCTTTGTACTCTGAAGTCGCCTCTAGTGTGACAACAGGCAGATTAAGATAAGAATTGGTAGTCTAACGAATGAACTCAAGTGCAAGTATCTGATCGTCATTATAACGGGTCAATGATTCTGTACGTGGCATTCATACATTCAAGCTCGAAATGGTCACAATTAGTTTAACCAAAAATTCTTGATTGGTTTGTCGAAGAAATTTTGATATTACTTTAGGAAATTGTTTCTGCCCAAACTGTGCGCGGGGTTGACAACGATAAGTTGCTAAGAAATAGTTGGAATTGATGCCGGTTCAAGACGTATGGTACTTCTTTGGGCAATTCCATTGCTTTGAGATTTTTGCCTCCATTCCAGCCACCTCAGGAGATCTGGATTTAAGGACGTGTCGTTTGGATCACTGCGAGCTTCCAATTGTTGATAATAAGCTTCACGTAACAATCGAAAAGTTTGAATGTTTCTATATGGTTGTTGAGTCATCGGGTCTAGGTACCTTGCCGGAAGCCTGGGTATGGCACAAATAAAAATTTTAATTTTTTGTTTTTGTGACAGTAAATTCTAGCTAATATATAATTAATTTCAGTTTTTAGTACAACCTTGTGATAGAGCATAGAGCTTTCAATGGTGGTCTGAGTTGTGCCGTCTTTTTGAAGGCTTCTAGAAAAAGTTGTTCATTTTCAAATGTGACGAAAGTTCTTTCATAGAAAAGACCAGTTTCTACACATTGAACATCCGTTTCCTTATGAGAAGTACTTATGGTAGCTGGATTAGCTCGTTTTTCCTCTTTGCTTCTTGCTTCCGCATCAGGGGTTAAAGTTTCCTTTGATGTATTACTGAAATAATTGAAATGTAATAACAGATAGTTTTAAAATAGGTTATGAGAGTGTTTGTATATTAATTACTGTTCTTGGAGCAAGGTCAATTCAGATGGATCGGTGTCTGGGTTTCCGGTCATCATTTTTTCGTCGTCAGCTTCTACATTAATTTTTTCATCCTCTTTTTCCAATAATGTGTCAGTTAAAACCATCACAGGCATGGCTAGCGACTGATAACGAATCATTGGGCCAGTTTGTATCTTTCGTATCAAGCGTGTGTTCTTTTTTTCATTTTCCAGTTTTTGATATTTTTCTGGAAAAGAAAACAAGACAATTAAGTTATGTTAGCGCCCTCATAGCGCCCAATTATAGCAATTGTTATGCAATACCCAATGACTTTAAATTCAGCTCCTCTGTCAACAGAGCTTCTTCTAAAAGTTCCTGTTGCGTTGGTTTCCAAACATCGTGTCGAACAAGTTTAACTTTTTTTTTTTGATCCTCATTTCTTTCTTTCAGTCTTCTTTGAGTTGCTGCTGATTTTGCCGCAGTAGATCGACGAATAGATTTTCGCTCTAAAATAAATATATGATAAGCATTATAAAAGTACGCTTGATATCACGCAATATTACCTGATTTATCCAATATAGGTCGAGTAGATTTTGGTGGTCTCTTTTTCTTTACTTTTGGTGTCAACTGTGGAGTAGACGTCACCTTTGGCTCCTTATAGGCCTTCGTAACTAGTCTCCGTTTTTTCCTTGGCCCTTCTTGCTCTGGATCAGAAACAGGCTCGTCATTTTCATCTATACTAAAATCTGAATCCACTTCGTCTTCGCCTTCGTCTTCCTCCCTTTAAGTTAATAAATAGTACAATATGAAATACTAGAAAAATAGTAATAGCTTAGACCTTCACTTAGAAGATATTTACATGTAGTCATGATCTTGTTCAACTTCTTCGAATCCTCCGTATGTCGTTTTATAAAAATCGTCGTCTTCTTCTTCATTCAATAATTTTGCCATTTTATTACCGGCATTTGATCGTCTTTCTCTTGTCAGTGCCATTGTGATGGTTTAAGACGTAAACCTTTCCTTTTAAAAGAAACGTGGTACTAAAAAATATAAATATTTCACCTACAAATATGTAATAATATTTCAATTTTCAGGTTAGAGTTGTTTTATATCTGATCAGATACTAAATCTCCATCGTCGGTATTTATTCAATACGGGATTAGATAAATCCTGCTTTGAGTGCGTCCCCACCAACCGGGTTTATTTAATACCGAATTAACTAGGCGCGGAGACGTGCCCCGTAGCGGGATTCTGTATGTCATACTAGTAAATTCTCTTGCTGCTAATGAAAATGGGTCTGAGGCATCGCGTAATTCTCTTCTTATAATAAGGTTATTATTACGTCCCCGAATACGATGGTTGCCAAAAATAAAAACACCCAGGAGGTGTTCCATATTAAGTTTCGGTGTTACAATCCGTGGAAGATGGCGTTCACGGCGCTTATTTTTCTATCTTTTCTTGCATGCTTCATCATTTCGCTTAAAAATTTGTGTCGAGCCTGTTCACATGAATGGTCTCGCATTTTCACCACCAAAAATATTCCGTGATTCTGTCAGCTACTCATTTTTCACATTTTCGCTCAATTTGCTTTACATAATAGACTCCCTGATTCCACAACCCGAGTTAACCGAAGTTTACCTGGTTTACACCGGGTTTCAACGTACTGCAAACTAATAAAACCTCGATTAACTTGAGTTGTGGAATCGGGCTTTAAACTTCGGTTAACTCGATTTGTAGAACCGGGTCTGTTTCCGCCGAACGTAGAGCGCTAAGCATAAATTCTTTTACACCGCAGTTTAATGTGATGATTTGAAAATATGTCATTGATAAAATTCGTATACTGCTTCATTTAGTTTTAAGTAAAGATCGGAAGAAAAAATTTAATCGGAATTAAATTCTACCCACAGTAAGTTCGCAGATCGGTACTGTCATTATCATTGCTCTGAAGGAAAATGTAATTCTTATCTTTTAAAGTATTTTATTACATTCAAGGAACATACATAAATTCATAAAGCCTGCATTATTCTTCAAGTGTAATTCTTAAAGCGGAAAGTTAAACAATCAATACTTGAAGGACAAGTATGAATGAGGAGGAATTGAAGGAGTACATAGAATGTATGATATGGTAATACATTTTGTTACTTAAAACAAAAATTAAATATCATTACAAAGCTGTGCGCATAAAAAATGCACTTTTTTTTAATGATAGCAACACCGTGAGTGCCTGTTTGTTGGAAAGAAGACTAAAATTTGACTATACATTCAGATAGACAAAGAAAATTATTGTTTATACAGTGTTAAAATTGATATTATTTCAAAGTACATACATAATTTGCGCAAGGAAGAATTAGCGTACATGTTAAAATAATAATTATTCGTATATGTAGGAACACTTGGGCCTAAATGCTACAGCAATATAGCTCACATACCGACAACTACTGACTTGAATTTTCTTTGTCATAAAGGTACTCAAAGAGACTCTTATCGATAACGGTAAATAAATTTGATTCTTGGTTCAGTTTTGTAAGTAGATGCTTAGCTCACAAGCGAAAGGAACCAAACGCTCTTGAAATGCAGTCTCTTTTTTTCTATCACTACTTCATCGACCACTTAATTCCTTATTATCTATGAGCAACTAATTAGGCAGCGATAGGTTATCGCTTAGAATGTCACTTCAGCACTGGTGTAAAAATAGTTTCATTTGACTAAGCAAAATAGGAAATTGTTTATTTGTTACATGTTGCCTTTGGGTATATTTTCATCAATCCATAGTTATGTATATTATTCTGTTCACTCGAGTTCTTTTTTATCATAGGTTTTGAAACTCTTATCATTCTCCAATTGCTGTTACCATTAGGAACATATAGTAGTTTATATATTTCTCATACATGTTCTTAAAGGAACTTGACGTGATGTATCCTGATAATGAGATTTCACCTTGTACATTGATACTATGTAATCTTTGAATCACACGATTTTTATAATTTGGTCTTGCAGGTTTGTATTATCTTTATAGGTGTTTGTATGTAGGTTTATGGGCTTTCTTATTAAAGCAGCAATAACTGCTCTGTGCGTTATTTTCAGAGGAAGCAACAAAAAGTAACATCTTTTTATAAGAATAATGAAAGAATGAATCATCTTGAAATGAGGATGCAGTAAGTTTCTATTTAACGTAAAAACTGAAACGGCATGAGCTAATATGTACGACATTTTAATACTTTAAAACTTTCTTTTGCTCAAAATATTGGTATAGGTTTTAACATTTGTTAACCCATTCACACAGTGGACAATGACCATGCATTCTGTTTTAGATTAAGAGTGTCTCTTAAAACATCTATCAGAGAAATGATTACTGGAAGTACATTAATGAAGTTTTTTTTTGTTTAATTCTTGCCACCTTTTCTGTAATCAGTTCACTGACAGTTTTATTCATTTCATCAAGCATATTGCATGATTAAGATAAATGAAAAGGTTACCAAAGCACAATGTTTTGCGGCAGAGAGAATGCATGGGTGTTTGTGAAAAACAATAGCATCACGAGAATGGTAGGATGTAACGATTGGTATTGTTTGCTACATGAGAGTAAAATTATTATTAGATAACCTAGCTTACTCGAATGTTCATTCAGTGATGCACTGAAGCTATCGAATAAAACTCCCTGGTTTTACTTAAGTAAATTACTTATTACAATTTTGTAAGAAAACAGGACGAAAGGATCAATTTTTAGCGACAGTAGAATTACTTTACATTAATCTTGAAGCAACACTATATTATCTGCCTGCCATGCAATGTTAATTATAATGTTTGATCTTAGAGTTGGAATTTTATCTCTGATCAACTGTTCGTTCTACCATTCTGTGATTCTGTACTATTGTCGTCTACGTCAGGCGTGTTTTTTATATACTTATTATTAGTAAGATTTCCTTCAGTTTGAAAGACACGTATTGCTCCTATGACCATCAAACAAAACCAGTATACTTGAGGGAAAAGAAGAATGGCAATACTGATCTTACACCCACGTGGTAGTCCCAAGAAAGCCTGAAAAGCATACGCAAAATTATGTAAACCATTTGAAAAAAACTGAAACAATGACCTTGTTCCATTTATTTTCAATCGAGCTTTGTATATTTTCAATTAGTTACGTGGCTTCTTTATTTCTGTACTCACTTCAAAGTAAGGGAGACCAATAATTTGGCTGTACACATAGCACAAATATGGAAACATAGCAACCCTGCATATGAAAAAAGTTAGGATCATGATCAACCCGTTAGTCCTGTACAGATTAGTGGCCTTCATCTGTAAATTGAGTTTGTCGTTGAAGGAATATAAGTAATTTTTAATAGCGCTCAAATGATGATTATTAGGGGAATGGACTTACACATCATTACACGTCACCTATAGTCTTAAGCCTCAATTTAGTCCTGTGATTATTGAAGAGTCGATTGAGTAACTGCTTTTCCCAGATCAAAGCATTATCTGTAGGATAAGCAGCTACATTGCCGACTCGTTACTAGACTCAGGACTAAATTAGATCTTAAAAACCATTGTAAACCCACATTTATTTTATGATACAGATTTTCGTTAGTATTAGTAATACTGTAACATACCTTTAGCCTGCTAAGAATTCCTCTTAGGGATACAAACGGTGTACTAAGTTCCATCAAGTATACAAATCCAAAGATGCAATCGCCCAAGCCTTTTCGTAAGTACTGTAAATCAGATTAGATGAAAATAAGTTACAAATCTACCATCACACATGTTTCTCAATTCAAGTCCAAAGAGAAAAACTTACTACAATGATTAAGAAGCCAAAACTTCCAATGAAGAGGTGATGCATAATCATGACTGGTTGTGTTTTCAAATAGTAGCAAAGGTTGTTGAAGTATCCTTTACCTTTATTTTGCCGTTGGGATTCTGTGCTATTACAGTGCACTTGGTACATTGACCAAATGTCATAAAAAAAATAAGAGGCTCCAAACCATGCATACGCTTCGCTCATGAAATGAGAGGCGTGCAAGAACGATCTGGTACATGACCACATGCACACTATAGTTCCGGTTATACAGCTTAATGCAGCTTGCACGGCAGAAACTATTCTAAAATAATGAGGTCACCTATAGTTTATATAATATTTACCAACCATCTTAAATTTCATATTATTGTCATGATTTTCTTACTTGTTAGATATATCAAAAACATCCGATAACTTGAGATGATATTTCTTTCGTATTCTAGAACCAGTGCGAGTTCGTAATGCGACGCTATTGAGAAAGTCAAAGAGTGACAGAAAGAATATAAATCCTAGAGCAGACAGGCAAGCACCGCGTCTTAAACCAATCTTGTCTCCTGGGGATAAAACGGCAACCGTGCATACTGCCATGCTTAGGGAACCCACTGTTGATACCAGCGAAACGGACATGTCTCCGCAATTGGTGGAAATCTAATTAACAATTGTTTTTTAACGTTATCATAAAATAAGAAGAAAATGTATCGTTAATTTACGAGGTACTACAATTTTCTAAGTATATCAGAATTTGGAGCCATTTTCGGATCTTCAATAACATCGTTACACTGATTTTTAATATGTTTATTATATATGAAGTTCGCTATCATATGAATTATTAATGGGCACATCCGTTGAATCTAATTTAGGAGAATATGCGTAAACTATGGCAATAATCGCAACTTGGAAAGGTTACGCCATATAAAGGTGACTTTATAAATCATATTTTAAAACTATTAAAGATGGTTCTGTGATGCTCCGTCAATATCGAAGGGCCAAGATCTTATCTTATCTTATCTTATCGATCGATTACTCAATTTTGCCCAGCAACATACGCAAAATATCCGACAGATCGTTCCAAGTATTCTACTGCAGTTTCCGAATTATTACTACATACAATGTTAGCGATATTAAGGGAAGGATTTGCCTGCAATCCGAATGAAAATTCCTGTGGGAAAGTTCTCGCTGTTCCCTCTTTGGCACAGCAGGGGCCCAACAAATCGCAACACTAACTTATATTGTATTTTCATAATATGAGAACATCTTTAAATGGGGTAGTTTTAAACATAAAACTACGTACATCAAAAAGTGATAATCTTATATCGGCATTGCATTGCGATTCGTATTATGCATTCCATAATGTTCCGCTGTAGTACAAGGAACGAGACTCACCATTTTATTTGCGTTCATATTACTCATTTGTGTAATCCGTTTTTTTTAGTTTCCTCAACGAACGTGTCGGTCTTCAATTTGCCGGGTCTCGACAGGGTTCAAGGCATGTTTTGACAATTTCATACATGTACAGCGACGTTAGATCTCACGCCGACGGACAAGTTTGACGTTTTGCAATATGCCCTTCGGTATCGTGACATTTCGGGGGAAAAAGACGTATCGCGAGAGGCGAATCGTTTTGGCGAGTCGAGGGGCAGAGACGAGATCGAAGACGGTCCTCGCGGACCGCCTCCGTGATCGCCCGCACGTGCTGCCGCCGAGTGGCGTCGGGGAAAGGCTGATGACGGCGAGGGAGAGTGGCGCCATCTGCCGGCAGTCGATGGGGGCGTGGTCGATGCGGTCGGCGGCCGCCAGTCGCAGCCACCGGCTGGTCGCGGCTAGTCGTTCCAGGGGGGTCCGGCGCGGAGGTCGCGGCGAGCGCGCGCGTTGGTGACCGCTAGGGAGTTTGGTGCCTGCTCGCTGGCAGGCCGCTCACAACAGTGTCCACTTTCCAACATGGCGGATCAATTTGTGTTGTATTATCATGTGACGGAGCGAGATCCGCGGTCATAAGGCGACGAGTGCGCGAATACCCGGTGGAAATCCCGCGGCCGAGGAACCGGAAGGAACTGGGGCCACGATGGCGGACGCGAAGAGCCCGCCGTTCGGGGATATCAAGCGACCGGAGGAGGTGGTGGCGATGGCGATGAACGACAGCCTGAAATTCGCCGTGCTCATCGGACTCATCGAGGTGGGACAGGTGTCCAATCGGGAAGTCGTCAACACCGTTCTTCATTTGGTAAGTGGCCGCCGTTGTCGACTCCCGTGTCTATCGGTCGTCCGGGGAGGTGGACGCGCGACGCCTTCGGACGCCTTCTCGGGCCCGCTCGCCTCGAGGCGAGGTCGTCGCGACCATTTTTCCCAGTGCGACCGGTCCTTTGGGCTCGACTCGCCTCGAGAACGAAGAGCAATTACGCGCAATCGATACCGCGCTCATATTTATCGGAGCGCGCTAGGTTAGGAATCGTCGACGCTTCGCGGTGTCCGAGCCGTCCAAGGTCAACGAGATACCCACGGTGCCCGCAAACGGCGAGAAACCTCGATCGGGGTAAACTAAGCCGGTGAAATCGAGTCCGGTCGTCCGCTCGAGTTCCCAATTCGAGCCAACGGGGTGCTTCCCGGGCGTATTTATTTATCATCGCGAGGCTTTATATCACTGCCGGCAAGGCCCGTTATCGCCAGCGTGGACTCGTTCGATCGTCGTAATCTTATCAAGGTGTACGCAGCTTCGTTGCTCCGTCTTGTATTTACTGCACTACGTGCTCGCGATCGCGGAAACGCGCCACTCGAACCCCTATATTAACGAGCGGTCGCTCGGACGCTTTTTCCTTCGCGTCGGAAGTAGGGTTCGTCGATGCGCGAAAAAGGTAAGTCGGACGCCGGATCCGGCATCCCGGCGGCGAATGACGCGAATCTCAAAAGAGGGTCTCGGTAGGATTTCATTTAAGAGACCAACGCTCCTAAATAACCCTTTCTTGCCCGCTCCGCGGAAACTCGCGAATTCTAATATGGGTCGCCTCTCTTCGGTCGCGCAACGTGGTCCTATTTTTTCTCAAATGCCGTATTTTCTCAAAATCCGGTGGTCGAAACGCGGCGATCTCGCGTCTCGGTCGTCGCGGCCGCCCCCTTGGCTCGGGTTCTTTTCATCGAATTTCCCCATTTGCTCCCCTATTTCGTTATCCACCGTTCTCGGCGCGACGGCCAGTTCCCCACTTAAAGTCCTCCCCTCCGTTTTCCGCAACTTTCGAAGTCCCTCCGGCCCAGCTCGCTAAATTATTTACGAGGTTACGCCGGGAGAACGGCAGGGATTAACGCGTCGTCGAAAGCTCCGCCGGTCTCTTCCCCGAGGCGGGACGGACCGATTTCGGGTTTGCGCCTTTCCTCGGGGCGCGTGCCGATGCCGGCCGAATCCATATATCGACCGTCCGGACCGTCCGGACCGGCAGGACCGGCCGGTCCGGCCGGTCCGGCAGTTATTTATTTATTAAAGTCGGGCACATCCGGGGGGCGGACAGGCCTTTAACGCGAATCGGTCACGCAGTGTCTCCCTCCGGACTCGCTCGATATCGATGCCGTCGCGACAGCTCCACCCTTTGACGCGACCGAGCTCGGCCGATGTCTGGCCTGGGTCTGGCCGAGGTCTCGCGGCGCGTGCCACTCGCGCCCGCTCGCGCCCGCTCGGCCCGGCCCGGTTGCGAAGCGGGTCGATACGCGCCCCTCCACCCTCCGGACCGACCGGCCGGATTCGCCGCATCCTCGGTTTCGCTTTTGGGACCCCCGGTACGTCCTTCCGACGTTTCTTCCTCCCGCGTCGGACGATTTCGCCGAGGATTTTCTTTGGCGTTTCCGCGATCTCCGAAGGAATGGGGAAATCTCCGCGTCGAGTCGAAAACGATTAAATAAATAACGACGATCGCAGCGGAGTCCGTTTCTTGACAGCCGGAGGAATCGGAGGAATTTGAATCGTTCCCCGACGGGACCGGGGGCGATCCACGCGTTTCCAGGACACGCCAGTCTCGGAAAATGCGAGAGAAAAGGAGGAAACGAAGTAATTGCTCGGGGCTCGAGTAACGATCGCGTTGCCGAGGACTCGAGCTTTCTCGTTACGTTCCTCAAAGAAGTTATTCCGCTAAAGCGCCTTGCGCGTCTTTGTCTCTCTTCCTTTCTTCTCTTCTTTCCCTCTTCCGACGCGTTTCTCCCGTGACGGACAGCGAGGGCAAATCGGATCGAAAGGATGTTCCAAGGCGACGTCATCGGACGTTGAACCTGCCCGCTGGAAATTCGGCTCCCTCGCGGCCGGTGCGTGGACCCGTCCCCCGGTAGAGCTGGTAGTGGTCCGAATCGGAAAGAACTCTTTCCCAACGATTTCGCTTCCGTCGGGAAGGGGCGCTTTTACGGTAGCGTCGGTTGGCTCGAGCCCCGCGCATCGAAGGGTGGTCATTCATTTTGGTAGACTCCTACTCGGGGGCACCTCTCCCAAGACCGTCCGGGCGAATCGGGGCGTTTCGCCGAACTCCGGGAACGAGCGAATCCCTGCACGGGACCGTCAAGAGTCCCTTTATTATTCCCGTGTAATTAGCGGGCGGCCTCGCGGGGCTCCCTTCTTCGGTAAACTCGATAATCCTTCCGTCGAAAGTCCGCCTATCCATTGTTAAAGAGAAGCGGGACCGTGCTTTCCGAACTCTCGACGGACTCTCGACGGACTCTCGACGATCGGTTGGCCATCGTCGGCGCCAACTTTTCCCGTATCCAGGCTAATTGTAATAAGGTGTACAGGTAAATAATTCATTCGCAGCCTCTCTTTCAGAGGCGACGAAATAATTGTAAGCTCCGGCCGTCAAAGGAAACGAGCTTTCTAATCGGTGTTGTTTTTTACCTCTGTTTCAGGTGAGTTTTTACCAGCTACGCGCGCCTTCGACTGGCGCCTCCTCTACTTTCCCACGTGGGAAACCGTGCGAAGTAATTAAAAGTCGATAGAGAGCCCACTGCCCTATTCCTGCCTTCCCTCGCCGTTCGCTCCTAGCCCGATGCCGCCATTTTCTGCCTCTCTCCGGCGGGAACCGTCCCGTCGGTCATCGACGGCCGATGTCGGAGGGGGCGCGCCCCGAGGAGCCCCTTTCGTGCTCCGTCGAACTGCTAACGGGCTCGATCCGACCTAGTTGCGATATTTATACTCTACAGGGGGGGTTTACGCGTCGCGGCGGTCCTCGAATCCTGGGTGCGAGACGATTCCCGACCGGGGTCTCGGGGAGTCCTACCTGCCCGACGTCGTCCCCTTGTGCTCCCTCCAACTTGTGATAGGCCCGATCGACCTACATACTGGGAATGTCGAGTGAAACGACCCTGGATCCGGACGCTTTTACGAGCTTCGTGGCTTTGTGTCCGGAAGTACCCTCCGGTCTCCCGTTCTCTTGGTTCAACCTATGTCCGCCCCCGAGTTTGGCGAAACAATGGACGTAAAGTAGTCGCTTCGAAGATGGTCGCGGGTAGCCGTCCGTTGGGAAGGCGCGTTCTCGGACCTTTTTTCCTATTTCCTTCCGTCGCGCGGACGCGTCAGCCCGTTGTCGTTGGCCGACAGCGATTGCGTCCAAAAGGAAGGAGCGAAAGGACCGAAAATAGGAGGGTAAATATCCACAAGTTTGGCTCGGTCGCTCGGAGCGTCGCGTTGCCGCGAGTATCGATCCCATCGGTGGGAAAACGCGGGTCCGGCTCCGGGTCACCGTGTCCCTTTTTCTTAAAGGTTTCTTCGCCCCTCTTTACCCCCTTCCATCGAAATCCATCGAGATCCTTCGAATCGACGTTAGTAAATCTCTCGTTTCAGGGCGAGGGCGTTCCGTAAAAAGTGTCACGGTGGTCGCGAGTGCGCGCAAGGTATAATCTAGAATTTTATTTTGCGTTCCGATACCTACGGGAGTTGGTTTAAATTAAACGAGAGTAAACCCGGCGATATCGCTTACGGTCCCGCCGTTTACCGTGCACATTGTTCGCTCCGCCGAATGGACACCGGAGATATACCTCACCATGTAATACAGTTTTGAACGGGTCTTCTCGTTTTTTCCTTTCTTCTTTATTATTCCACTCGGCCTCTTTTTCCTCTTTCCTCCTTCGCTCGTTTTCCTTTTGCAGCGGTAACGCGAGGTTCCCTTTCCGCGTTATTCCCCTTTCGCATGGCGCAACGGTGTATGGTTTTTTTTTCTCATAGGAAACCGTGCCAAGGTATTTGCCTCGACGATCCTTCTCGATTTTCGGAAAACCCGACCGTCATAGGAAGGTGGGTACGAGGTGCCGCTCGCGAATCCCTGATCAAAATTGACGCGATTTACCTCGGAGTTGGATCGATATTTTGCGACTCGTGCTTCGAGACCAGTATATCGTCATTCCGACCTACGCGATATGGGGAAAAAAATGAAGGACGTGACATTAAGGAAAGAGAAAGGAGAACCTCGTTTCGAGTACGGCGTTTACGTTGGTAACGTCGGTGGAACCGGGGATGGAAAGTTTCGAGTCGGCAGGTAACGCTCGTACCGATCCTCGTGGCAAGGAGTCCGTCCGTGCTAATCGTGGAAGAGCTTCGGTGAAACGCCGCTGGGCGACTCTGCTCGAAGTCGATCGAACCGTCAGCTTCTGGGAATTTTCTTCCGTTCCGTTGGTAGCTTGGTCGATAAATCCGGGGGGACGGTAACGCGGGTACCTACGGTTCGCGCGAACGGTAGGTAAAACTTTCCGACTCGGCAGGTGGCGCCAGCCGCGACGGGCCCGCGACCGATCGAGCGTAGCGTCGACGCGTGCGACCATTAGAATACGGTAGACAGAATTCGCGGACAACGTTCGCTTGTATCGGTGATTCGCAAATCAGCCGAGCCCGATTCTACCCGGTTCCTTATAAACTGTAATTCCGCCTCCCCGGATACAAGTACGTCATTTGAGTTTCCGAGCGTTCAATTGCCGTCGGGTGCAACCGGAAACGCGCAAACGAATCTACAGGTGCAGGTGAAGTCAGGGCCGAGAAGCACGGCACTCTTCGATCCTTAAGTGGCAGCTCGGCGACTCGGAAAGTTTCTTCGCGATCGTCAAAGTCCGATTAAGATCGACGAGGGCTCTCGGCGGGACGGAGGAAATTAATTCGGATTTGATGGATCCTTGGATAAACTTGTTGCATCGCGGCAGATGGACGAGGACCGTGGCAGGGGTATTAATGAAATCTTTATTTTTCGTTAGTTTCTTTGATACGGCGAGCGG